TTTATTAGTTATAAAATCGGCATTTTGCGACCCCCACTGCCACTGTGTAGCATATTATTATGTGCCAGGGACTCTATGAGATGATAGGACAATAGCCTGAGTCTCATAATTGGCAATAAGTAAGGGCAAAGCAGTTATAAGTGACTCACAGAATTGTGCGCAGTTGCGTATACAGTACACGACTTCCCTAAAGGCATCAACACCTTCAGCGAGCGCGATGCCGATCACACCACGCGGTTCGAATTCGACCCTCGATCGATGGCTGTGCCATCGCCGCACACGCGTCAAATAAAAAGCAAGGCACAGGTCCTTACTTAGTAACAACTCCTTTCATTTTTCATTGCTGGAGGGATTGCCGCCCCCTACCTGAAAATACTGGCTCCGCCATCGATTAATACCATGAAATGTGTAGGAGATATAGATCGATAATACGTTGAGACTTCATTTAATACATACTCAGTCGTTGCATACATTTTCACTTTTCATCTAGGGCAGACATGTCCAAATATTATTATTATTACATTTTTCCTTTCTCCTGTAATGCCCCCATTTCCCCATTAGATGGCGCACTTTGACCAGGAGTTACGACATGTTCTTGTATTGTTCATGTTCGTGCAATTTGTTAAATTGCCTTGCAAATAAATGCTTTGCTACCTGTTAAAGGCCAAATTCTTTCATGCAATGATTTTTACACGTCATTTATATTAGTTCACACAAACACTCCATCCATCTGTTCCTGGCCCGGCCCCTCTGTCAAATTTTAGAACCCACTGTGGCCCGCGAGTCAAAAAATGTGCCCACTCCTGATCTAGGGCTTCTTCAACCGTTACATCATGGTAGCGTTAATTCGGTTGATCATCAAGACACTTGTAGACGAAAATTCGATGCTGACTCAAATGTATAATAGAAAGGTTTTTTTCGGGTTAGATCGCGTAAATATATGAATGTGTCGTTAAAACCCGCCACCACCCGACACACTCGCATAATGCGCATGCATAATGTTCACTGCCTCAGTAATCACCCCCCCTCCCCCCCCACTTTGCACAAGAGCGCAGAAGCGTGGTCACCACATCTACGCTGTCGCCTGATGAAGCTGGTTGCAATTACTGGCGAAACGTCGTACCCAGATTGTAAATGTTGTGGCTTGGCTCTCCAACACACCGGTGTGCTGTTACTAGTGACGAATTGGCCACGTTCTGTTTACGTGACAACCCTTACTAGTTGGCTGTGTCGGGTGGTGACGGGTTTTAACGACACATTTATACATTTACGCAATATAACCTAAAAAAAAAACTCTAGCATGGATGATATTGGTCGCGAAAGCCTGCTACGTGTAAAACTGACTCAAATGTATTCGTCTATGGGCTCCCTTTGCCGTTGTTAGTAATATCTCCACTACCGGGAAGTCCCGCACCTCTGGGTTAGCACGATTGGGCTACGTACAGTGCGAACGATGTTTCAACACACAGCACATACAAGTCATTCCTGCAGCTTGCAAAAACAAAACGAGAAACCTCGACAGCTCTCACACAGCCCTCACAAAACAGCTGTCGCAATGCGTCCAGGTGTGGACACTCAATATAAATTAATCGTAATTTCTGCTGTTTGCCTCCAACGTCCCAACAATAACAATACAAAAATCCGTTAATAATCACTTAGAAAGGGCTGTCAAAATCCGGTGAGAGGCAATTTTCTGGGAGCGTCCTTTGGTAAATGACTGCTCGGGATCTAAGCCAGGAATGCTTGAATTTCTTGGAAATGTAATCATGTGGCCTTTGTGTCATTTAGTTGACCAGCAGCATCCATCAGGCCGTTACTCATAAACATCCACAATTTTAAATATTTAAAAATATATATTTAGTGCCCTGCACTCTTTGATATTTTCTTATTTTGGTTGCTGATTACAAAGTTCGCATTATTTTCACACAAAAAAGAATACATTTGTATTGTTATTTTATATGTAGAGTGTAATCATTCATTACTGCAAATATTTTCAACAAAGCAAACATGTCATTGCGTTGTTTGAATATATGCAGATTCACACATTAGGTTTAAAATATCCATACAATTATTTGTAATTTGACTTTCCTTTAATCACAGTTAATTACATCCGCTTTCACCGTAACTACGACTGGAATGTTGAACCCCTCATACTGAGCAATCGCTTGCTCTGATGATCAGAAATGTGGTGACTACAAAGCAAATTGCCACAAAGTGCTGCATCATAATCTTGCTTCGTGCAGGTGTGAGCAACGGTTATGCTTATTTCCAGATTTCTGTGGAAATTGCCGGAGAATCAGGTGGCCCCTTAAAGCCTGGTAATCAATACGCTTACCACTGTGCTGGTTTTCACCGGCCATTTGAACGCTACTATTACTTTGTAAAGCCGCGCAGCATGGACACAGCATGCTGCATATTAGTATGTCAGCACGTGTTAAAAACCCCTTTACACCATTCTCAGAGGTGGATCATTGAATGCCAATACCGTGGTCCAGAGCCCCATAATTTGGCGATTATCTTCCTCTATGGAGGCCGTAAAATAAAGGTACCGTACTGCAATGGATCCACGCCGCCTTCCAAATGTAAATGTTTTCACATTATAATTCATGTACGGAACATCACAACATTACAATAACAAGCTGTGATATATATCGGAACAACAAACAAAAAAACAATTCGGCGTTCGTTGACAATGAGTCCTTACACATGTGGGAAGTGTTCCTGTGGCTCCTGAATATGTCAAACATCAAAGCCTTTCATTTTCTAAATGAGGTATAGTGCAGAAATTGACGGAACAAGGATAATATCCAGCACGATGGATACAGGTTGGTGACCTCCATTTTTACTCCTTTGTGAATGCTGTCAATACCTAACCTTCATAAGCAGACGTGTAAATAATGTGGGTAAACCATTGATAGATATCACACGGAAAGAAAAACAATGTTACGAAAGTTATATTTTGTTTTAAAATTAAATACGGCGTACGTCTCTCTCCTATGTCAATGTGCTGATTTATTTACTTTTAACGGTCGCCTTTTTGTAAGATATGGAACGATCACTGTCCCAACACAGCACTCAAAAACCTGTTTTTTTTTTAAACACATCCTACCAGCCACACGAAACATGGTCCACAAAATGTGTAAAAATTACTTACATTTTTTACGTGGGGAGATAAATATGGGGAGAAGTATTATTCCTGATTATTTGAATGGGATCCAGAGTACCGTTTTCGCAAAGGGGTCCTAAAGAGGTGGTGAGAATTGACAATTGCTGTGTGTACTCAATTAGAACTGACAAATACTGGACAGCCTTAGTTAAATTCCTGCATATGAACGTAAACTTGCCACGTGGATATGAAAAAACATCGGCATTCACTTTAGTGCAGTTTTAGGTACTTCGAACCCAATAAGGCATATCACAGCGTACAGTTTTAAATTAAACCTTATTGCAGACAAAATAAAAAATATATCAATTGCACATGATTCAATGTTTACATATTTACATGAACTGCAGTTCTGAAAACATAAAGAAATTACCTAAACTATCATTATCATATAGCATTGATATATATAACGACTTATTGTTGGTAGCTTAGCTGATTGGAGAATATAGAGTTTATTGATAACATTAAGGTAATTTATATTTTAGTTTTTTATTGGTTCACTATATAGTACTGTGAATAGCTCAGATGTGTAGGCCTTGACTTCAACATAGTCATTTCTGTGACCAGTCACTAGCTAATCACTCAGTTATTTCAACGCTAAATTCGCCTAGTTATTTCAATGCTAAATTCTCCTGTTTGATTTGTACTAAGTGCCTCGGTGAATGTGTATGCTCTGACTTTAACGTAACTATTTCTGTGACCAGTTACAAGCTAATCACTCAGCTATTTCAATGCTAAATTCTATGCTAATTCCTTTGTCAAGGGGTGCCTTTGCGGATGTGTATGCTTTAACTTAGCTATTTCAATGCTAAATTCTATGCTAATTCCTTTGTCAAGGGGTGCCTCTGCGGATGTGTATGCTTTAACTTTTAACATAGCTATTTCTGTGACCAGTCACAAGCTAATCACTCAGCCATTTCAATGCTAAATTATATGCTAATTCCTTTGTCAAGGCGCTTTGTTTCCTCTCACACAGCTTAAAGGTCGTGATCTGAACGTGGCTCTTTCACTCCAGCGCTGTCCTACCAGACAGTCTCGTCCCTTCACCTGATGAAGGCCGCTTGTGTTGTGGCCGAAACGTCGTGAGAATATTATTGTGTTATTTTATTTTATCAATTTATTATTTTATTCTCATTCTACGTGACTTTACCGAAAGAACCAAAGAAGATAATACACATGAACAAAATATATGTTGTTTGGCTCTTAAATAAAACACTGTTACTTTGTATTGTGCATCACCAATGTTATGCTGGAAAAGAAACAGTTTAAAAACGAAGCTATGAAATTTAAAATTTACTAGCAAAATAACCAAAAATTACATAACAATGTCACATATCTGTCCGGACAAATTAACCGCCCACACACAGTGCAGGATTTGTGCACGGTGGTATAACTCATTTTCAATAGATGTTCACAAATCCGACCAATGCACCCAATGGCGGAGCCAGGATTTTCAGGTAGGGGGGGGCAATTCCTCCACCAATGAAAAATAATAGGAGTTAGTAAGTAAGGACTTGTCCCTTGCTTTTTATTTGACGCGTGTACGGCGATGACTCAGCCATCGATCGAAGGTCGAATTCGAACCGTGTGTGATCGGCATCGCGCTCGCTGAAGGTGAATGCCTTCAGGGAAGTCGCATACTGTATACGCAACTGTGCACAATTCTGAGTCGCTTATAACTGCTTTTCCTTACTTATTGCCAATTATGGACTCAGACTATTGTCCTATCATCTCATAGAGGCCCTGGCACGTAATAATATGCTACACAGTGGCAGTGGGGGTCGCAAAATGCCGATTTATTATTAATAAACCCCAATGATCCGATCAAAATTAGGGATTTCGATCGGATCATTGGGGGGGCACGTGCCACCCCCCCCTCCCCCACTGGCTCCGCCAGTATCTGTACGCATCCATCTCGAACACCTTTACAGACACGGGTTAGGAATAGCAGCTAACGTCTCTTCTCTGCAAAGTAAAATTGTGCCACCCGCTCATGTGCATCCTCAACTGGAGCCATGTCCACAGCCACTACCTCAAAAGTCCTTGGGTGATCTCACAAATGCTATGACAGCAGAATACAAATTATGCTCTGAAAAACTCACGCACGTCAATATAATTTCGGATTCTGACCAAGTTGGGACACTTCAACCTCAATCACGAATTTCCAATTGTTCTAAACGACGTCAAAATACAGACATTATGCATATCTGCTGTGTTTCGAGGCAAACCATTGTTTTGCAAATTTTGCTCAGAATGGCAATTCCTTAAAACTTTCTTGAGAGCTAAGCGGAACTGCCCGGAGAAAGAGAAGTATATGACTGGGTTGATGCAGCTGTTGGTGTAACAGAGGACAATTGAAACTTGATTGACGATGGCGTAATCCAAGTTGTTGGTGAACAACTTTGCCTGGCAGAGCATGTAAACCAGCATGGGAATGCACAGCAGGCTGAAAGCTATCAAGGCCACCAGCGTCATAGTCGTGGCCTGGCGGTTAAACAGAAGGCTCGCCTGGTTGTTGCGTATCATGTCCCCTCGCCTCCACAAGGTGCGCACGATCCTCGAGTAGCAGAAGACCATGACGGCGACGGCCGGGATAAACCCGACGGTGTTCAGTGCCACGTCGAAGAGCAGCCTCTCCCTCTCGTCCATGACCAGCGCGCAGACGCTGCGCGTGCCCACGCCGACGACGCGGCTGTAGACCCAGCGGGGGGTGCTCAAGCCCAAGGTGGCCAGCCAGATGATGGCGCAGAGCATCAGCGCGTGGTTGTAGCGCACGAGCCGCGCGAGGATGGGGTGCACCACGGCGACGTAGCGCACGACGGACAGGCAGACCATGCTGTAGAAGCTCACGCTCATGCTGATGTGCGACGCGACCTTGAAGGCGGTGCAAACGAGCGGCCCGAAGGTCCAGCTGCAGAGGACGAAGTGCAGCGAGAACAAGGGGATGACGTAGAGCAGGAGGACGAGGTCCGAGGCGGTGATGTTGAATATCAAGACGCTCGTGACGGAGGTGACGGTGTCGCCGTCTCTGCTCCGGATGCTCTCTCGCAGGGCGGCGAGCAGGACGATGTTTCCCGGAACGCCGACCAGAAAGATCAGAACGCAGCCAAAAGCCAACGCCGATCGCAAATGAACGTTCTCAATCTCTGGGACGAAGCCCACGATGTCTTCTGGCTTGGAGTGGTTTTGTTGAATCGTGGCGTTTGTACAATAATTCAGGGACATTTCTTTTCCTGCCAATGTCAATCAAAAATGTGTCCATATTAACACATAAAAAGCATTTAAACGTAACATGAGCCATGGTGAAATGTGTTAATAGAACAGTGCACACTTGCTGTTACTCGCACGGCTGAGTTATGAACATAAACTAAACAATTAAACTATTTTTTTTTATCATGTAAGACTCACTGAACATATAGCTCTTTTCCAGAGGCGACCTGGCCACACATTTTAGCTCAACGAAGTGGCTTTTCGCGTGTACATTTATACTAGCCAAACTCTCTAAACGCATGTTCCTAAATGTGGAGGGGGGAAAACCGGAGGACCCGGAGAAAAATCTACGCGACCACGGGGAGAGAGACACGCAGACTCCAAAAATACAGGCGTCAGGGTCGGGATCGAACCCACGACCTCCTGTGTACAAGACACGTTAATTGACAGCTTGCCACTTATCACCAATATTAATCTCTCTGCGTGACAACACAATAGTGTGTTTGTACATTGAATGAATTACAAATGTGAAAGTGCAATTTTCTCCACAAATCATGTGAAGATGTAAAACAGAACATACTAGAATACATTTATGATCTACATTGTTAATCTAGATTTGAAGTTTTCGTGACTGCAGGGATCCATAATCTTTGGTTCTTTCGGTAAAGTCACGTAGGTATAAAATAAAATAAATTAAATCACGACGTTTCGGGCGCTTGTGTTGCTTGTGTTGCGCCCGAAACGTCGTGAGTTAATTTATTTTATTCTATACCTACGTGACTTTACGGAAATAACCAAAGAGTATACATTGTTAATGTAATTTTTTTATTTGCTCATTTGAAAAAGCATTGCTTTTATGTCATCCACGTAATAATTTAGTCGCTCATTCTATCAATTTACACTGTAACTGCGTTAATATCTGCTCGTGATATACGAGCATGCCATGTGTAACAACGTTTACTCTGTACGTACAAATTAACTCCCTTTGAACGAATGATATCACAACAGTCAATGGACATAGCACCGCGCAAATACAAATAGGTATGCAAGTATTTATCTCTTTTTAACATTATTTATAATCCAAAACATTAAGCGTACACAGTTGTGACAAACAACTCAGATGATGTACGACATATGTAGTGTATGCAATCTTTTATTTATGTGAAAGAAGGTAGATAGTTTTTTTTTTGTTTCTTACCGTTTGAGTGCTCCCCCGTCGATGTACGGCCTTTGCGTTTCAGGGATCACCGGCTTTGAGAAGAATGCTCTCACGATACGAGAAAAAAAAACACAAGAGACCTACGGTATGTACCACGTGTGCTCCCAGTGCGTTGCCTTACGCGAGGAGCAAAATGCATTCAACCGCTGAAATGCAAATGCTGGCTTCGGGGGGTTCCATTTCTGATTTGACTTTTTTTTACGTCTCATTTCCTCGAGTGTTAAATTTAAAAAAGGCAAAAAAATTGCTAATGATATTACGCACTTTTTTTTTCCTTATTCATTTGTTCAAAGGAAACCTGTCGCTTTTTTAATTAATAAAACAAAACGTGTGTAATTATGATTCCACAGCAACTGCACAGATAATTGAATATCTGGCACGCTCTAATGTATTTAACTAGGATGATCATTATTGATGTCTTTGTTTATTAACATCATTCGTTTTTCTACCTGGTAGATTTATATCATGCAGAAAAATATATACAGTATATGTTTTGCAGTTAATTGCATTTACCTAATGACAGGATTATGGCAGTATTTTAGGAAATGGTGAAGCCCGGAATTTTCTGGCTCATACCACTGCTGTTGGAAGGGCCTCAACCAGAGTAAACTTTGGAAACCTGCCTCTCGAGAAATATTTTGGCCTAATCTTCCAAACTAGCCAGACGTCTTGTAATGCATGTATATATGTTGCACTTCTTTCGCACCGTGCGTATCCAACCGTGCTCATCGGAGGGTAGGACAACAACAAGAGGCAGGAGTGGCCACACTTTACCCCACCATACACGAAACGCCGATCAATCGGTAGTTCAATACAAAAATATAACTGCATTATATTTTCTTCATATTTTAACCCTGTCGTTAACAGGTGTAATTTTTTTTTTACAAAATATAACTGCAGATATTTTATTTTCCTTTTTTTAAATACAGTCCTCAGGAAAAATGTCAAAAACACTTACAACTGACACCTCTGTGAATGCAATACACAAGGCATTGGAGCTCATGGTACACCCGAACTCGCATCAGCACAAACCATGACAGATGGGGATACTACCTGATGCTCAAATGGAACATTACAAAAAAATCTCTCCAGTGTGCAACTGTGATCATCCAGAAACAGACCACACGACATATAACGATCCACAAATACGAATGAGAAATCACAGCGGACACATTCTGCTGCTGCTTACGTGGTCATCTGGCTTGACCACCTGGTATTGTATCGGTTTCCCTGCATCTACATCAGCCACACGGAAGAGGGAGAATGCAAGGCATACGTAACCATAGCAATGCCGAAGTCACCATTGGCTGCAATTGCATTACATTTATAGTAACAATGTGAAAAAAGATAAAGGTGCTGACTCTGGCCTTCACCTGTTTTCCCTTGGAGAAAAAAAAACACAAATGAGATCGAGTCTTCCATTGGCTGAACTTTCCCGCAGACGTAAAAAATGTCACATCAAGGGACGAGAGCAGCAAGGTCAAAAGGTCATTGTAAAGTGTAAACCGAGAGATGTATTCGCAACTCATTATCGACTCAAAACAGAATACATTTTCACGTGGATTTTAGTGATGCTGTCTGTTCTACCGTCGTGCAGCTGCAATTATAGATCTCTGAATTGTTTTGCAGCCAAAATTTATTTCTTGTCCATGAAATGGAAAACATCACCTTTGCTTTGTGGCTGCTTCATGTTATAATTACAGCTTTTAATGGACGATTGCTTTTGTTTCTATATATTTTTTGAAGGTGTACTTAATTCATCTCACAATAAACCGAAATTAAATACAGTCTAATCATATGTTGTACATGTAAAAGTGCGTTGTACATTGATTAAGTTTACAGCGTGATGTATTACAGATCTCCTCTTATCCGCAACCATAATACACAACTCATTATCCACAGGAGGGTCCACAAATACTCCTATTAACCGTACCCCTTTTCTCTCCTATTATCCGCAATTCTCCACCTTTTTGCCATCCTGCATTGCTAAATTGTTTCACGGATAAAAACAAAATTCAATTGACAAATTAAACCTATTCTGTGCTATTTATCCAATATTGTTTTTGTCACTGATAAATTGAGCAAATTCGTGGATAACATCGCGCGGATGAAAATGTACAATGTTTGTTCCCCATATCACCACAGATAAGAAGAGTTCTTCAGTATAATAAGAGTAGGAGTAATAACGACGATACTCCATATGTGCTTAACAAGCGACTGTTAAAATGTATGCAACAATACATTAATTTAGCTTTTGAAATTACACTTTTGTGACAAATTCAGGACATCACATCGCTAAAATAAGTGCGCCGTAAGACACACTTATTTGTAAGGGCTCTTTCTATTTGTTGAACCCTTTCTTTTGGGGTTAGATTGTATTGGTGTAAGCCTGCATGTGTGTGTGTCTGTGTTGTAGAGTGCAATGTGATCTGTGGGTGAAAGGTGCTTTATAGTAAATTATTATTATTATTATCTAAATCTGCTTTCACTCACAGACAGCGAAAACCACCACAAATGTCTGCTCGAAGCATTTGCAAAAATGTAAAATTGCAAATATCTGCTCGCAATTTACGAATGTCTCCAAATGCATTCCATCCTCGCACAATGACACGCCAAAATACCGTTACGTTCAGGGACATTTCAGCAGAACTATGTATTTATTCTCTTTCAAAACTCGAGTTAAGCGGTGACATTTGGATTCATCAGGACATTTTGCACCGGATGTTTTCCAGTGAAAAGCAGCGACAAGGTTTGCAATGCAATGTGTTGACAATCACCTTATTTCAGGCATCTTGTTCAAAGTTAATTTTTGATCCTCGTTCAATGGACAAAGGCTGACCATAATCATGGACAATGAGGTTATTCACATCTCTCAGCAAGGAGATTGCTCTATAATGCGTTTAAGCTCTTGTCACTATTTTGTGAAATATTGGCGAACGATATGCATTTTCGTTACACGTTTGTGCAATCGTTTATCACCTGTTACATTCACAGCAGCTTTTTTTTTACACATTTAGATACGAAGAACATTACCATAATCACTTTCATTTTAACACGCGAACACGGGTCTGATATTTAACACAAATACGTGCGCACGTTGCCGAGCTAAAATGATACCTGCCAGGATGAGAGGGAACACTTTCTTACTTCTGTCAGCTTATATTGCGCTCTTCGCTGAGACTGGAGGCTCTTCGAGCGAACCTCTGTTATCAGATGTCTATAGCCAGACAAGTGAATTATTCGTGCGACTTTCGGACACACGTGTGACAACAAGGAGGTATATGCAGTGCACACATCGTCGTGTTAAGAATGCCATTTATAACTTGCGCAATACAGGGTGCTTCCAAAAAAAATGTTAACACTTCCGAGAATTTTCAACAACACCACAAGAAATGCGCCCACGGGCTCTGCAGACCGCCTGGAGACGATTCCAGGCCACGCGTTGGCAACGATGGCGAACAAGTGGAGACTCTTTGACTTTTTGAAGCTATTAACGTTACATTTGTTATCATGTGAGTGGTGTATTGTACGTTCTTTTTTCATTAAAAACGATAGTCCCATATGAGTGTTAAACATGTTTTGGGAGCACCTTGTATTTCACGGACATAAATGACTGTGACTGAGGTCCAGAGCCAAGCTGAGTGTCACTCATCATCATCATCACCCATGGTCAATCCATTGCTGGATGAACGCCCAATCAAACCACTACCACCTCCTCAAACCACCACCACCACCACGTAATCATACATAATGAAAACCACAGTTAAACCAATTACAGATATGATTCATAGAAAGTAAACGAATACACGTGTTGTACACAATAGCGCGCGAAGGCAAGACTAAATCATTCAAAATAACCGTAATCATCATCAGCCATGATCAATCGACTGCTGAAGGGCCTCCCTGAGCCACCGCCACCTTTCATCATCCTGGGATACAACAATCGATCCAGCACGTGCACATGAGCTGTTCTCGTCGCTCCATCTCCTCGGTGGACGTGCTCACAAAAGCGCTCCCACAGCCTGCACCATAAATAGCGGTGCCACAATGGTGAAATGTTAAATACCTCGCCTGGTCCACAGGAGGTTGTGGTTTTAAAGCCGACCCTGTATATTTTCAGTTTGCATGTTTTCTCCGTGGTCACGTGGATTTTTTTTTATCAGGGTCCTCCAGTTTTTCCCTGCACATTTAGAAACACGCGTTCAGATTATTTGGTTGCTATAAAAAAAAATTACACGTGATAAGCCACTTCGTTGAGCAATCGTTTGTGACCAGGTCGCTTCTGAAAAAGAGGTATACCGTATAGCTCAGTGGGCCTTACCTGGTAAAAAATATTTTTAAAACATTCATAGTTTAGTTTTTATGGGTGTGCCAAACGTAGCGCTAGCTTCGTAGAGACTCCACTACCAGACTCTTGAGAGTGTTCTTGGTTCGGACTCAAGGAATTGCCACCAGTCGACTGCTTTATAGTGTTTACCTGAATCACAAAAAGACAACACTGCCCACCACGAGATGGATGATCGAGTAACATAGCTCCAACTCAGATTTATAGGTCGGTGATGTCTCTCCATAACTCGCTGTGATTGAATTATACCACATACGATACTGGTGCGATTTCATGCTCCTCTTAGCCATGCAGATGTTCTGAAGCTTTAATATGCGATGCAACACGAACTTTAGATTGGCTAAACAAAGCTCTTACAAGCCATTTTCTAGCCGGAACAGAGGAAGTTATTGCTTCACTTTTGGAAAATAATATGAATGGGAAATTTGGCGAGAGTAAGCTTTTGCTTAGACAGTCGCGTTTTTTGTGTGTGCAGAGTGTCAAAGAACCAGACATGCTGCCGAGGTGTAATGGTTAGCACACTGGAGTTGCAATCCAGAGGTCGCCCGCTCTATTTGCAGCTAAAATGATGGTGCAAGTTCATTCAAATCCCTCCCCCCCCAGTCTGTGTCCACGCAGCAGTGTGAATGTGTGCACCACAGTCAATCAATCGGTAGGTCGCGTGTGGTGGGGCAAAGTGTTGGTACACCCACCACTTCCAAGGCGTCTGGTCAGCGTCGAAGAGGAAGCCAAAACAACCCAGATTTGAAGTTTTCGTGACTGCAGTGATCCATACTCTTCGGTTCTTTCGGTAAAGTCACGTAGGTATAAAATAAATTGAATTAAATCACGACGTTTCGATGGCAACACAAGCAATCATCATCAGGTGGGAAAAAACCACAGCAAAAACATTTTTCTTGCTGTCGTGATTTAATTTATTTTATTTTATACCTACGTGACTTTACCGAAAGAACCAGACAGTATAGAGTACCAGAACAACCCTTCAGGCTTGCGTGCAGTGACGCTTCAATGTGCTCCCTGCTTCTATCTACTGGCAGAAAATGAACACTGCAGTAACGCAGAGTTTTCGGCAGTAATAAGTGAGAGCCACTGAAAATTGATCGTTTATGGATTACTCTTTTAAAGGGGCGCGGGGGAGGGGGGGGAGAGGTATCAATAGTCCCATTTAATACACACTGTGTCACACACAAAACATACCGTACCGAAATTATTTCTAATCCATAATGGTACATTTTAAACTGAAGAAAATGCGTGCAGTTCTTGTCACTGTTATTTATTGTTATTCCACGGCATGTAGTATTCTTGAAAGCACGTAAAGCGTTTGTTTAACACCTCCTCATTTCTACCACCCACCAGTCGTCACGCTTTAGAGCTCCTATTTTTAGGGCTGTATCTGGGCCGAATTACCGCATGCTGGCTTGTTAGTGGTCTGATTATAGAAACACCCACGCGTCCCAAATATAGCATTGCGCAATTCCTCGGGAAACACACACACACACAGATCACAGCACGCCTGGCAGAGGAATAATAGCGCTGTGCATCGCTCGTCCCGTTTCAAACGCCCAGTTCACTGGACGCTTATGGATAGCGACGTGTGGCTGTGGCGCTGAGTTGTATGTCATCCTTCGTGATACACGCAGCGACCGAGAAGATAGCTTCTCGCTCCCCGTGAGCCCCTGTGAGCAGAGGTCAACACGGACGGTCTGGCTTGGAAGGTATCGTGCCACACACAATCCAAACGATGCGCGTTCGTTTGTTCGCCTTCCCCCCGGCACCTCCGATTGACAACGGTTGGCTGCGTACTGGTACGAAAGGTGTTCAACGTGCATACATACATTCATTCATTCCGAAAACAGTTTGAATTTAAGGGAAACAATCCAGTTCTGTTGTATCCTCCTGTGAATCCTGCATGGTACAAATGCTATGCTACTTATTATCTTTTTTTATCGTGTGAAGTATTTATCTATGTCACCTCAACGTCTTGACATAACAAGACAGCTTATTTGACCATGCTTAACACACTGTGTTGTCTATATCTGAAAACATTAATTGTACATGCTATCGCGTATTAAATGTGTGACCCTACTAGTTAGCAGCCTTCCTTTATGTTCACCTACCTTTATTCGAATGCTTTAAAGTTGTATTGCAGCATTCGATGTGTGTGTGTGTGTTTATATAGAACAGCTGGAACATCCAAATCGGTCAAATGCTAACGGAAATGTGCATTGCCTACCAAATACGAGGACATGGAGTAATTGACATGAAAAATCGAAATACTGTAAAGCCTTTGTACTGCATTTTGTTCCATTTGTTCCCCACGTCGTAAGTTTCCAAGATCCGAGGTTTTCGTATGCTGCTGGACAATCGCAATTATAAAACCCCGCACTTTCATGGGTTTTTTTTCATTTATTTCTGGCCGTATTTGGAACACGAATGTCGGACAGCAGCAGATGCGCATCCACATTGCGTGGGTTGAAGCCTAAGCAATTGAGGCACGTGTCACCTGTACAATGGCTCTGCAATCAAGGCGCGTGTCAGCAGGCAAGTGAAGCGTGTGTCCCTGAGATTCGAGTGATGGCGTCAGGACACTGCCACGGCCTTCTGTAAGATTGCATTCAAGAATAAATGACCCCATTAGCGTTGAGCCAGATACCTCACGTAAAAAAATAGCCAGTTTTTTTATTTAGTCGCCACGGTGGCGAGATGGTAACTACCTCACGTGGCATACAGGAGGTCGTGGGTTCGACCCCGATCGCGTATATGTGTCCTCCCCGTGGTCGCCTGGATTTTGCTCCAGGTCCTCCGTTTTTTTCCCTCCACGTTTAGAAACATGCGTTTAGAATAACGAGCTGCGATGAATTTCCACATGATAAGCCACTCCTTTGAGCTATCATTTGTGGCCAGGACATTTAAAAAAAGAGCTATATAGCTCAGTGGGTTTTACCTGGTAAAATATTTTTTAATTTTCTTTTTTAAAAGTTGCCTAAAATACAGGTTACACAGTACACTGTGTTACGATATGTGTTCATATCTAGGTCGCACCGTGCAAAAAAAACATGTTAAAACAGTAATCATTAGTTTGTAGATCAATTATGTGATGCCGTGTGAATGAATGAACGGCAGTAACGCAACAAGAGAATTTGGCCGTTTTTGCAACATCATCTCCCACATTTGCCAAAACAACTCCATTGCTTGCGTGGAATGAATGAGGGGCTCCAGCTTTCCCTTGAGGACTCCCGATTGGGTCATCTTCCAGGGCCAGGTTATCATCCAACGCTATCAACGTAACCCATCCAAACACGTCGATGGCCTGGCACGTGTCATGACGGGGCACTGCAAGATCCGACCATGTACGTCCGAGGCTCGCCCAGCTGCATTAGCTTTTGGTTGCCAAACAAAAATCATTATAATGTTGCACTCATTACACAAAAGTTTGTTTTTTGCCACAAATGAATAACAAATACCTTGCTGATATCGTTTGGGAGCATAAACCATCGCGCAATCTCCGGCTATCCTCGCAGCGGCTTTTGGTTAACCATCGAACAAAAGACTGTCGTCACTGCATCGCGCACTTACACATGTACTTCTGCGGCCGTCTGGAACGCTCCTCCTTCCGATTTTAGGAAGCTGCTGGAGCTACGGCACTTTTAAATCTCGATTGAAAACTCAATTCTTTAGAACTGCTTGTTTGTGTTTAGTTTGTTGTCCTTCCCCAGCATCTGCTATTAGCACGGTTGGCTACGTACGGTGCGAAACAAGCTCAACACACATACGCACATTAACTGCTGAACAGGTTTTTTTTTTAAAGCGACCCTTGTGGGAACCCGACCTCCTGCGCCACGTGCCTTTCAGGAGCAATCAGCTACATGGATGAAATGTCAGAGGAGGAGATGACCGAACTTGCCCTCCAGATGAGCCTGCAGGAGATGTTCGCGTCGTACGAGCGCAAATCTTCAGACGCGGGCGAGAGCACGTACGGCAGAGTCGAGAGACGTTGCACTGCAGTGTTGGTGTATGCCCCCGATGCTATTGCACCGCAGCTAAGAGCCAGCCGCGTTTCCGTACGAATTTGTTGTGCAGCTTACGCAAGGAGGCACAACTGCTCGCGTATGTAACCTTGGTGTGTGCATAGTTTGTTGAATGCATGCACGCATGTACATCCTACGCGTTTGCAAAAAAAAAATGTCATCAAGGCTAAATGGCATTGGGATATGAGTACCGCTTTAATTGCGTGTTTTTTGTTGTTGTTGCGTAATTTTTGTGTTTCACAGCTGTACCAATTCAGATTTGTTTGTAAAGCTGACCGAAGCCATCACCAAAGGTAACATAAAAAACAAGACTTTTCTCGTGAGAAATCCCCTTTTCTGCTTTCCGGTTGCACATTGCCCCCGAGTAATGATTGAAAGCCAACTCTTTGTTCGTGCACAAAGTGCGAGCGCTTTAAACGAGTCTCAACCCCATCGCAGACTCTCATTGGAGACCGATCTGGAAGTCACTGCCCCCCCCCCCCCCACCACTCAACTTTAAAAGGGGGGGGGGTGGTTGTGGCATCCAATTTAAATTCCTGAACGGCACTTGACCTGACAATTCAGAAGCGAGTCGGAGTTCGTTTGCGTGGACCGACTGGGGTACAGACTCAATGGAGAGGAGGCAGAATTCGAAAAGAGGGTGGGATCCATTCTTAGATAACCAACTGCGGTGGCATCCAGGACTCACTCCAGCCCAGTGTCAGGGACGCAACTGCCTCGTTCAACGGGGGAGAGGGGGGGGCATGCAAGAGACGACTCTGGACCCCCCCCCCCTTCTTTCTCCCGACTCACTTGTACGGAAATAGCCACGGATGTGTTTAGCCCGTTAACAATACTATGTTAGGCTATAACTACAAACACTTGTTTAATTGCACCGTGTGTTGGGTTTAGAGGAAGACAGTCTCGCAGTGACAGTATCAATAAAAAATATATTTACAGCTACGATGCTCACAATGAAGTTATGCGTCTTGCTTTCGTGCACACGTCAGTTAGCAAGGAAGCCTGGTGTTCATTAACAAACACCAGAAGCGCTATTATGTTTAACACAATGTTTTTTTTCGGAATCATTCTTTTTTATATATTTGTAACAATTTTTTGGGCATTTGTGGTTAATTGTTTTTGGAAAAAAAAAATGTTCTCACGTTTTTTTGTACTTGTTTATCTGTTCATTCGGGCCCCCCCCCCCCCCCTTGTGGCCGGACTGGGCCCCTATGTGTCACATAACGCTGCCATGTACCCCCCAATAGTTGCGCCCCCTCCCCAGAGCCTCCGAGATGCACACCGTGTTATCAGCTTGAGACCCCTCCCCTCCACCAACATGGGCAGCTCTTTGTAGTCTCCCAGAGTAAGAATGGCCAACTCTGTGAAATTCCAATCGTAGGCTCTGTAAATTAAGGACGCATCATACGACCTGTAACTTCAGGCCAGTGTGTTTATCATTAGAAATCTACCATCCGTCGGAAAATATGAATTAAAAAAGAGTATTTTTGGAAGTTTCCAATGCATATTAGCAATGCGTTAATAATATATAATAAGGCCTCATACAAACCCTGAATATGTTCGATCCATCGATTGTGATCATAATACTCCCTTGGAATTAAAATGGCTCCGTTGCAGAGACTGTAAAAGATAGGATCTCAAATATACAATGGCAGGAAAACAAAGTGTGAAAACATTCAATGTAATTTCACTCTTGAGAGGACTGTGCCAGCGTCAAAGTTTGACAACTAAACACTAATAACTTGATACGAGAAGTTTGTTTGTACAGTCCATGGCGAGCCTGATTTAATTTTGGCCCGGAGTCAAGAATTCAAACCCAGCGTCTCAGCGGTGCAGGCTCAGGTATCTCGCATTGCCTTGACACGAGCCGCAACATAGCCATCAGCCAGCATCACCGTCGTCTCTCATCGATAAACAGCTTGTTTTGCTCCACCGTACCACTGACCACATCACCGGAATCTGGGAACAATCAAGTGACAAAACCGCTGAATAAAGCCGGCGAGGAATCATCCCCAGTGAGGAGCTCGCATCTGGCTCCAATCCCTAATGGCTCACATGGCAGAGCCTAAAAACAGACTGAGAGTGGGTTTCGGCAGATGCAATGAAATCATGGGGGGGGGGGGGGGGGGGGTGGTTTTTGCACAACCACTCAATGTGCTTGTCAGGAGAAGCAAACCATGGATCATCTTGGGAGATGCCCTGCAGCGCCACAATGCACTCCTCAAGATGTGGCAATGCCAACACCAGACGCGGTGGCCTGTGCAGAATATTGGGAAAAGACGATAGAGGTTGTACAGGAGACACGACGAAAAAGAACAACACGAGCTACCATGGCAACCCACCTTCCATTAGGCAGGCAATGATTCACCACGGCCCAGCAATTGCACGACTTGGCGTGAGGAGTCATAATTTAATTCAGGAATCAACTCTTTTGACATCTTGTTTTTAATGCATCATTTGTATTGGGGGGGGGGGGGGGGGGTTCAAGCCAATTTGTTCTGTCACATTCACTCATATAAATGTTGGCATATATTTAGCAAATAATGTAAATTATTTAAATAATTTATTATTTACAAAAATGTTTCCCAAACATTATCTTCATTGCGCCATTGGCGTAATGTCATGAGGCTAAGATTCCATTCGGATCTTTCGCACAACTGCAACCCTTTCTTGTTAGAGAACGGCACACAAAAGCCGATATGACAAAGCTAAATCTGAGACCCCTTAATTGATCTCTTATCCACATAATAGGGGGCAGCACTTTCCCACCCACTCTGCCACTAAGAGTAATGTTTGTCGCACGACAATAAAACCAAGCAATAAAATGTTCCAGTGATGATTATTTTGTCTTTGGTGACCGAGCTGAGACTATTAACACCCTGCACATGAGAGTCACGTTTAATCGCAGGTAGCTTCCGGAATTCAAACCTCGGATCGCAACGGTGCTGGCTAAAATTCTACACACGAATCATGAGCCCAGTGCTCAATGAATCGATGCAGCTGTGCATGCCCACCTACCAGATTTGCACAGCCTTGTGTCGTAATAAAGTGTTCCCTCGTTATCCACGAACTTGCTATTCGCGATTTTGGGTGTCCGCGAATAGCATTTGGAACTCTGCACGACTGCCTCAAGAGAGAGAGAGAGAGGAAGTGACAAAACAAAGTAACGAGAGAGAATGTGATGCGAAAAAAGTGATGAGAGATAAAATAATAAGTTCACTTATAAATTAAGTTTTCTGCTTTCGTATTTATATGTATTTATGTTTATTATAACCACATTTTATTTGTGTCATGATAACGTTCGTGTATTGAATAGCGCATTTATATTATTGATCTAAGGGAATTCATTATCCGCAACATTTGCTATTCGCGAGCATCTCCGGAACGTATCCCTCGAGAACGGCGTGGTAACCATCGCACGTTGCCTCGCCTGCAGGCGAGCTGGACGGCGTGAAGGGCCTCTTGAGGCACAGCAGGGCTCCGTGTGAATGGGACGAGGACGGTTGGAGCGTCCTGCACAGGGCAGCCGCTCAAGGAGACGCCGAGATCCTGAGAGCCGTGGTCGACGGTAAACTCGCCTCACCGCCTGCACACCTCCCGTCGAACAGCGCGGTCGGCTACGTACGGTGCGGACGAAGTTCAACGCACGCACGCAATCCGATAGCTGTAACAGAACAACAAGAGATGGAAACATCAAACCACGTACTGGTGCGAAAGATGTTCGACGTACATACTTACATACATTCCAAGAACACTTTGAATTCATGGGAAACAAGTCAGTTCTGTTGTATCCTCCTGTGAATCCCACCACCTGCACCCTCCACCGATGAGCGAGGTTGGCTACGTACGGTGCGAAATGAATTAAATGTAGATACACAAAATCCGATAGCTGTAACAATAACAAAGAGGTGGAACTATCAAGCCACCTGTCACAACAATCTCGTTTTAATATTCTTTGGGTCTTTCGGTAAAGTTACGTAGATAGGTTCAACGAAAATAACAAAAAGATAACAAAAAAACTACGACGTTTCGATCACAACAAACCTTACTAATTGGCTGTGTCGGGTGGTGGCGGGTTTAACGACACACATTTTTCTGCAATCTAACCCAAAAAAAGCTCTATTATGCATAATATTGGTCGCGAAAGCATACTGCGTGTTAAACTAATTCACCATTAGGTGCATGGTCTCGCGTGCCCGCTAAAGATGTCACACGTACCGCCAGGTGAACGGGTCGGTACGGACTTGGAAAGACTGCTAGACCAAAGCCAACATCACAAACTAAAACTGAAACAGTTTCCACACCGAGGAGGAAAGACGATCGCTTGTGTTGTGATCGAAACGTGGTAGTTTTTGGTTATTTTTAATATTTTATTTTAACCTATCTACGTGACTTTAACAAAAGCCGCAAAGAATATAAATTCCTGCAGTCACGAAAGCTTTAAGTCAAGACTCTACTTTTCATTTTAAACATCCGCTCTCGGTTACAGAGAGTGAAACGTGTTCAAGCTCATTTTTAAGGTATTAATTTAATATAGGGGAATTTACTGCTTACATTTAACAGCTATGACTAAAACGCAGTTCCCATATAATTATATCGGCACATTCTTATGTACCGTATATTTTATCCTACAGCAACGTGGAGGCAAAGGAATGCATGCACATTCTTACATGTCCAAAGAATGAAAGCAATCTCAATCCTGATAAATACCAGCGAAAATACGCTTCAATTACAAATTAATTAATCAACGCTCCCCTTGAAGTGTAGTAACAACCTGAAATGCTTGTCTTCGTTTTCTCGATTTTTTTTAAAGTCCACACAAAATACGACGAGACAGACGCGTAGCGCAAGGTGTTTGCTTAAATGTTGATTTAAAGCTTTCGTGACTGCAGTGATTCATATTCTTGGTTCTTTCGGTAAAGTCACGTTGAAGGGAAGCGATACAATAATAATATATATATAAAACAATAAAATTCTCACGACGTTTCGACTGTAACGCAAACAGTCATCATCACCTGATGATCACCTGATAATGACTGTTTGCGTTACAGTCGAAACGTCGTGAGAATTTTATTGGTTTATATATATTATTATTTTATTGTTTCCCTTCAACGTGACTTTACCGAAAGAACCAAGAATTTGTTTGCTTAATATGACTCGAGCCTTTTTTGACGACAGTGTCATCGGGTGCTCATTAATATATTTTTTTATTTGCTAAGTAACAGATCACACATTATTCAGAAAGGATGCATGGTGAAACGAGTACATTAATTTTCTTTTCCCGAGCTAAATATAATGAAAGCTGAAATCGGTCAAAGGAAGGAGTGATAAAATATAATACATTCTAGATTTTAAGCTTTCGTGACTGCAAGGATTCATACTCTTTTGGTTTTTGGGTTAAGTCACGTGGGTAAAATAAAATAAATGAAAACAACTAAATTAAATCACGACGTTTCGGAGGCAACACAAGCTTCCGTCTTCAGGTGGAAACCGTCACAGCAAAATTGCTGTATCAATATAATACATCTAACAGCCATATCTGTTATAGCGATAAATACATATAAATACATATACAAATAAACTGCTGTAGTATTGTATTTTTTTTTGTGATTCACCAAGGCAATATTGGACCAATGTGGAACAAATTGTCGATACTATTGACATTCCGTCACGGCTGTATCTCTTTATTGTTCTTGGGTTTTCTCTATGAAAAGTGACGGTGAGGTGGCCGGGCCGGCGCGTGTTTGCCACTTGTTGCGGAGGTTCGCGGTCCGAGACAGGCGGTCACCCTGGTTAATACTGTGGGTGTGCAGTATTCACAAAGGATATGCGCCATCTGCTTCAAGGTAGACAGTAAAGATCCAATGACTTTTCATATATATGTTTTAAAGAGAACAACGTTAGTGCTGGCATCATTGGGAATTTTTTTTTATCAACCGTAATTTACTTAAATTAGTGAAAACCACGTTGCAACACTGCCCCCTACTGGCAGGCTACACTCGTCTATGAAGCATAGCGCTTTCGTGTCAACCTTGTTTCATAATGGCGTGAACACTAAATGTACTCATTGTCATGACTGTTATTATAATTGTATAAATAGGATATTTAGCTAAAATCGATCGTCTCGACTCTAATTAAACAATGTTAACATAATCACGCCACCGTAAACATCCCCATGTCAATGCATTTCACGAGCGATGCTCTTGGGCGACAAGTCGTGTAGGTGGCGTGCTGTTGATTGGCCGTGCCATCTGAATCTCTGGCGCTGTTACGTATTGCAGCGTGTCCGTACAGCATCTGGGAGCAGACAACCTCCGACGGAGACACTGCCCTGTCCCTCGCCATAAAAGGTGGACACACGGAGATCGTGCGTCTGATGCTGGAGAGGGGCTTCGATGCCAATGAGCCGTGTGGAAACGAAGAAACTCCACTCTACGCTGGTATGGAGACAATGCCACTGTCATTGCACGGTTGGCTCCGACATTGCACGGTTGGCACGTCCGATTAGCACGGTCGGCTGTGTACGGTGCAAAAGAAGTTCAACATACATACATATGGGAGGGTGCTTCAGACGTCGAGAGATTTACAATCGTGTGGCAGCAGCCACTGCCACAAATCAGAACCAGTTTGCCATTGTTTTTCTCACATCATCCGTTATCTATGCACTGCTGAAGGCCTACCAAATCTGTCATGGTGTCTCATGGTCCATATCTGCTATTTAATATTTTTAAAAAATGACATCTTTTTCTCTAGTTTGCAGTGTGCATTTCAGCGGAATCCCACAAACATACTTAACCTCTCAGCATCTCAAAAGGGTTATATCACTACATTTTATGTGGCGTGCTTTTATTGTTGTATTTGACAAGACTAAGAAGAGAGAAAGCCATGCGTGCTGGAATGAAGGTCCACATTTGCCAGTACTCGATAAAAAAAACCCACAAATAACTTAATTTGGGTAACCCCAACGTAGAAAACATTACCCTCTACTGGCAGACTACAACCGTCTGTGAAACACAGCGTCCTTGTGCTATGAGAACGGTGCAAATAGCAAATGTACAACATTTTGTGTTTTATATGTAGCCGTCTGCATATAAAAGTTGTGTTAGCCATCACCAAAACAGGGTCCCTGAGAGCGCAGTGATCAGCTGCCCGCTGCTGTGTTTGCGTGCTATACCACCTCTTGGTTCGGTGTGGAAACTGTTTCAGTTTTAGTTTGTGATGTTGGCTTTGGTCTAGCAGTCTTTCCAAGTCCGTACCGACCCGTTCACCTGGGGGTACGTGTGACATCTTTAGCGGGCACGCGAGACCATGCACCGAATGGTGAATTAGTTTAACACGCAGTATGCTTTCGCGACCAATATTATGCATGATAGAGGTTTTTTGGGTAAGATTGCAGAAAAATGTGTGTCGTTAAACCCGCCACCACCCGACACAGCCAATTTAGTAAGGTTTGTCACGTAAATAAAACATGCCAATTAATTAAACAAAACATGTGGGCAATGTTTTGTTGATATAAAGAAATAACCGAATGTATTTTGTGTGACATCTGTGAAAAAGACCTTCATAGCTCATCGGATTTCTCCACGATAAAGATTCTGACTAAAGATTATTTGTGAATTACACATCGTGCATTTAATTAGCCTGTGATATTACATTTAACTATTTCCAGTCTACGACGATAGGGGTACGCTGAGAGTTGATGGGGTTAGCAGTTGGGTTTGTACACGACAAGCAAAAGGTGGGGCACCACTGGTCGAGACACTTCACGCCATCGTCACCGAACGTCCTCGTTCTCTCCACGAACTTCCAGGCTCACGTGGCGAGCCGATGCCGCACGTTGTGATGACAGCAGCCACGCGGTTTATGTATTGTCCGTGTGTCTCCACGTGGAGAGAGGGAGGGCGCAATAGCTCTGGCTCGCTGTACACATTCCATCCACCGTCCAAAATAAGGCATGCTGTTCTCATTGCGGTTTCATACCCCTGCCGACACAGCTGCCTCGTGTCAACATAGATCGGGCAAATATGCGCCGCCGATACAACGAAACATTGCAACGATGAGGTCAAGGCTAACTAAGTCTTCGCAACCGGGCGAGCGGAGTTTGCCTTTTTGTCTGTTGTGACAGCACATGCGGTCGCGAGTTTTTTTAAGGCGCCCATCGGGGGATCTTCGTCGTATAATTAGCTCAACGTGCAGAGAGGCATTGCTGGTTTAATTCACGAGATCGCCAGCTCTGATTTCGGTGCCGGTTTTTTTATTTCATTTAAATTCGACAGGTGCGGAGCACGGGTTAACAGCCATTGGCATGCCCTCGAGCAAACGCTCCGGCACGTTGTCCCGCGAGACACTGGGTGACACACCACGGCGATGTGACGTTGATCGTTCTCAAGCAGTGGTTCTCAAAAGTTTTTGGCCCGCGGACCACTGAGCCGAAGCAAACATTTCCGTGGGCCACTCAGGCCCTACCCCCCCCCCCCCACACTTCCTGGTGACAAAACGCATTCACTTCTCTCTCTCTCAACACCAGTACCACAAAGTATTCATATTATCGCAACATAATTATAATAGCAACATTTATAAGGCGCAATTCATCCAGGGATCTCAGTGTGCCATGCACGAAGTTAGGAAATAGAAATATTACAAAGTCCAGAGTCCACTGCTCGTACATGGGAAGTGCAGGCCAGGCAAAACAGGTCTTTAGAAAATACCTTAAGAAACTTTTTTTTTTTAACGCAGCTATAAGGCTTCTTTTTTTTGTGGGGGGGGAGGGTGGGGGTAGATCTTAGGCTTAGGGCGCTATAATCATGGTGGTTAACGTAACTCACATTTTTTTTAATTAAATATAATAAAAGTTTATAAATTCACGACAGAAACAAACGGTCTAAACATTGTCATTATTTCCGGACCAACCTGCATTTGCATCACAGCCACCGCGGACCGTCTAGACTAGAGCACCGTCGTGGACCCACTGGTGACACCGGGGTCCACATTCTGAGAACCACCGCTTTACAATTATCAAGAGTCGATTTGTTTCTTGTCAAGTACCCTTTCATTTTCAGATGGAAGAAAAGAGGTAGGCAGGGACGACGGGTCGATGGAGGTGCATCTTGAAGACGTTGAGAGTGATCTTGAAATTGATCCACGAATTGGAATGATTGGGGTGATTGGGGTCGAGACGTATGTGGAAAAAAAGCTTCATATCTCATCGGATTTTTTCAGGATAAATAAAGATTCTGACTCTGAGGGTCTCATGCACTCGTGAAACATTTGGCCGTGGCACTTTTTGATCATCTGGAGTTTGGAGATGGGTAGGCCGTAGAGGAGAGAGTTGCAAGAGTCGAGTTGGCATGTGTTGAAGGCACGGATGTGTTGTGCAGACTGAGGCATGAGCTCTCGCGGTATTGAGATGTGTGAGGAGAGAACGAGGGCTCGGGGATCAATGACAACCGCAAGTTTACGCACTCTTTGGCAGTATTACGTCAGAGTTTACTCTTTGCCAGAGTGAATTTTATTCCATGTTGGGGTGGCGGAGAGAGAGAGAGGGAGGAAGGTTACTCAATGAGCCTAAACGCAACATATAACCTGCGTTTAATTTGCTTAAATCTAGAATTGTCACCAGATTGTGCTCTTCCAGTGTCTCACAGTGTGTTGTTCGGAAAAATGAAATGAACCGGAAAGAGAGGAAGACCTAACAGAGAATAGCTTGATGACGACAACATTAGAGATTGGTGCCAGAAATATATATTCACTACCAGAAATATATGCATTACCTGAGCATATAACAATGTGTTTTACCCTTTCTGGCAATAAAACAGGTGTTAAAACACCAAACAGAATCCTTTGTCAAGGAATCCTGTCTACATGAACCACACACAGTACCTGTGGTGAACATGCAAACAAAAAACATGCTCCGATAAGATATAAGTCAAAATGTATGCTCCGATAAGAAATGCATTGTCTTTGAAACTGATTGGTCCACGCCAGAGACAGCTTTCTTTATAACCTTAACAACATGTTTTATAGCCAGAAAGGGTAAAACCTATTGTTATATTTTGATACTGGCAAAGCAAGGTCCCATATTGTACCTGAGCAAACAGTATTGGCACAAGACAGAGGCAATGTGCAGTGGGCGCCTATGGGCTATCTGCCCACATGGATCGCGGCGGCGGCGGCGGTGATGACGATGATGGTGATGATGGAGCATCTTGACGCTTTGCCCCGTTCAAACGCCGCGGTGGATGCAGCCGTCAAGCGCGGCTCGCTGCCGGCGGCCGAGTTGCTGCTGCGCTACGGGGCCAACGTCAACCACGGGCACCACAACCGCTGGACGGCGCTGCACGAGGCCGCGCGCCTGGGCCGTCGCGACTTCGCCGCGCTGCTGCTGCGCAACCGCGCCTACGTGGACCAGAAGACGGCCTTTGGCTTCACGGCGCTGGCCATAGCGGCGCAGCACGGGCACGCGGACGTCCTGAGGCTGCTGCTGGATCGCGGTGAGCCCCCGGGGGCTACGAGCCGCCGCTGGCGAGACGAGGGCGAGCGGCAGCGCCGGAGCGCCGGAGCGAGCTTTGAGGGCCGCTTTGTTGCAGAGGTTCGCGGTTGGGGTACGGCGGACCGCCCTTGGTTAATACTGCGGTGTGTATTATTAACCATGAATACGCGTCATCTGCTTCGTTCGTGGACGTGAAAGATCGAGTGTAACGACTCCGACGATAAAGTAATAAGAAGAGACACTTATATTTAAGGACTTCCCGCAATAACTACCCGACGAAAAGACTTACACAATAAGGGATCCCTAGGATTCGTTCTTGTATACCTGCTTGTATCTTCCTCCAAACGCCAATCCCTGTCTATTCCCTCTAACGGCTCCTTTCTGTTATCCCGTTCAACCCTTATTCTAACAATCGGAGACCTCTGTTTATTTATAAATAGCCATTAGGCGTCGAAGTTCGCCAAGAATAATGAATTATTGAACCCACAAATGACTCACAATGTTTGGGAAGCAACATTGCTCCCTGCCGGCAGACTAGTGTCCGCTTGCAGGCCGGTGCTGCGTGTACCCTGAAGCACAAGTAACAGCTGATCACACACATTCACGTTAAAAACTGTTAGAAAAGCCATGCATGTGCATACAGTACATGATTTGCTTTCCTTGATTGCAGGGTTTAAGTGAACTTCTTGACTAAATTCGAAGAGAAAAATATGCAAATCGAAATCAATCACTTCATATACACAAGTCAATGCATCTCTCATTAGCAAAAGCATCGGCAAGGTTTGAGTCTATGTTTGTAATCGATACATTGCAAGATGCCTAAGAGTACTTTCACCTGTGCATGATATCTTACAAAGGCCTTGTGTCAAGAAATTAAGTAAATTATAAAATCAATTATATTGGATCCCTGCCAATTGTAAAAAAAAAACCTGCTGAGGCGTACTGCATGTATTCAGTCAGGCATGGGTCTTTAACACAGGTGGAGAAGCTTTTCCTTCATGGGACCTAAATAGGACTTTCACAACGTTTCGGCCACAACACAAGCGCTTGTGTTGTGGCCGAAACGTCGTGATTTTTTGCTATTTTATTTTCACCTACGTGACTTTACCCAATAGAACCAAAGAGTATGGATCCTAGCAGTCACGAAAGCTTTAAATCTAGAAAGGACTTTCAAATTTCTTTGGCGGGGCCACTCATTAACGCACACGCCTCAGTCACTTCTGGTCATTCCACTTGTCGAGAATGAATTCATTTCTTGACAACTGCTGTTTGTGTTTAGTTGTCCTTCCCCCGCGCAGTTGGCTACGTACGGTGCGATATAAGTTGAACGTACAAGAGGCCCCCGTTGTGACAAATAACTGCGCGTACTAAAATCAGAAACGCAGTGTTGGCGGGTCGAAAGCATTCCCCTCTAGTACCCGCTCAGTGCTGCTGAGATGCTTGCGGTGACGGGATATAATTTGCGGGCCATTTCAAAGCGGCGAACAAAATCACGGGGCCAAAAAAGAGTCCCCCTCTAGTGCCAGATCGGTGGGCCCTTTTTGAGGTGGTAGGTTTCACGGGCTGCATGGATGAACCTATGACCCGTGCGCCATAGGTTGCCCACCCCCGGCTCTGCGAGCTCGCGTCTCCCTCCCTCCCTCCCTCCTCCCAGGCGCGAACGTCCTCGCTCAGGCGGAGGACGCCGCCACGGTGCTGTACGAGGCGAGCAGCCACGGCCACATCGACTGCATCACGCTGCTGCTTCAGCACGGAGCGAACCCCAACATCCCCAACGCCACGGGCCACCTGCCCATCCACCGCGCCGCTTTCAAGGGCCACGTCCGGTCTGTGCATGGTGGGGGGGGGGGGGGCGGGCACGCGTGACCGCGTTTGAAGGGGACAGGCGGTGCACAAACTCAGAAGCGGCCCCACAGTCAATGTTCGACAAACTTCGCGCACATGCTCAGTGGCTTGCTGATCTCGTTAAGGAGCGTAGACCGTCACGTGAACTCCGGTCATCCTTGCAGCAGCGCGCTTTCGGATGCGCTTCCGTGGCCGTCTGGAACGCTCTTCCTTCCGATATTAGGAAGCCACTGGAGCTATGTACTTTTAAACATAGATTGAAGCCTCATTTCTTTCGAACTTATTGTTGTATTTGGCTTGTTGTCCTTCACCTCTGATTAGCACGATTGGCTACGTACACAATGCGAAAGAGTTCAACATACATACATGCTAAACGAAATTAGTTACAATACGATCTGCTTTTCTTTCTATCATGCGTTCTGCTCTGGTTCGTACCCCCTATGTGTAAGAGCAATGCATAATCTATCTACTGCTGAATGAAGCCTACCCCACCTTAACTCAGCAGACCTCTTTTCACACACGTTCCCTCCTTTGACTGCCAGACTGTCGTTTGTCTTGACCACTTTCCATCCTCCCCTCTTGCGTTGTCCTCTCCAAGCCCACCTGTTTTCCTTGACAAGTCAATGTCACGTATACAACTTGAGTATGTTCTCAAATCCACGTATTCCTATTCCTGTCTCTCAAGTCTCGTTGCAAACATGCCCTAGCTTGGGCACTTTTTGTCCTCTTGTCTCTCTCAATGACCACGTTGCACGGCCACAAAATTTGAGCAAAATACGCCAATCCGCTTGCTCGGCCTCGTGGCGAATTCTCCAGAGTGGCCATTCGAAGAGTAGACCACAAATCTCTCCAATGTGCATTCGGGTCGCACCGCGTGTTATTTCGCTCCACGTGCTGGCAGCTTCAATCCAGTTCCCGGAGAAGCTCCCAGCACGGTTGAGCGAGCCGGGGCGACCTTCGGATTTGCAAGTCCGGTGCGCGCCAACTCTGACACTGCGGCGGCAGCAGGCAGCATCCAAAACTCCCCACCTTGAACTCTCCTCCGAGTTGCTGGAACGATCGCCCACTCGGTGACCCTGCCGGGGTCGTGTTTGGGTGTCGCTCAGGGCGGTGAAGCAGCTGCTGCTGGAGACGCGGGAGCGCGCGGTGGAGCGGAGCGGCGTGAGTCCGCTGCACTCGGCCGTCGCCGGCGGCCGAGTCGACTGCCTGAAGGTGCTGCTGGAGAGTGGCTACGACCCCGACTTCCTGCTGGCCGACCACGTCGCCGTGAACTACACCGACAACCGCCGCTCGGCGCTCTTCTTCGCCGTGTGCAACGGCGACATGGAGGCCACCAAGCTGCTGCTCAACGGTGCCTCGCCCCACAGCCCATTGCCTCCCGTTAGGCCACCACGGTGGCGAGATGTTAACTCCCTCGCCTGGTATGCGGGAGGTCGTGGGTTCGATCCCGTACCTGACGCGCGCTGCTGCTGTACATTTGGAGTGTGTGGTCTCCCTCTCCCCGTGGTCACGTGGATTTTTTTTCCGGTTTATCCCCTCCACATTTAGAAACGTGGGTTGAGAGTATTTGGCTGCGATACCATTGCCACTGATACGCCACTCTGTTGAGCTATCATTTGTGGCCAGGTCGCTTCTGAAAAAGGCCAATATAGTTCAGTGGGCCTTACCTGGTAAAAGTTTGGTTTAGTAAAGGCAATCCAGGACCGCACCTAAGCGATCAGTTGCACGCAGCTCGTTTTGCAACGCATCTGAATCGCTTATATGTGGAGGTCTCACGCAATCGGTTGCACGCAACCAGTTGCTTGCAGTCGTGTCAAGCTAGACAAGAGGACAACATGTCGTCTTCATATAATCTGTCTCCTTATGCAAAACCTAAAAGTATTTCTTACGCAACCCATTGATCGCACGGCCTTCTTGGGAGTGCGTAAAATTCAGCGGCATCGATACAACCACTGTGCAAGCAAACTTGTGGACCGGATTCCACACAGCATCTCATCAGCAGAGTCGATCTTGCTTGAATGAATGCTGGTGGGCTGCCCCACCGGTTCCCAATGCTCAGCATATCAGTACCGTACTGCTCACCCTTGAACGTAACTCCCACATATCGTCTCTTGAGAGTCATTACTCGCGGAGTGACACTCCAACCAAACCCGGCGTGCGATTGCCCTCTCCTCCCTTACCACCGCAAGCCGGCGCCAAGGTCAACCAGGACCCCATGAACGCGCTGCTGGTGGCCATGCACCGTGGCGACCGCGAAACGGTGGCCCTGCTGCTGCGCCACGGCGCCAACGTCGACTGCCAGATGGTGGTGAACACGACGCGCTTCCCCGCGGCACTGCAGTACGCCTTCAAGGACGAGTCGCTGCTGCGGGCGCTTCTCGACGCTGGCTGCGACGCGCGGCTCTGCTTCGAGTGCTCGCACGACGCCGAGGGCAGGCGGCCCTCCGGTCCCCGCGACCTGCCCGGGTGGTCGTCCTCTATCATCCAGGACACCGAGGTCAGTCGGACCGGCCCGCCGCGAGAGACGGTGCGGCCGGCGGAGCCCCCCCAGACGCGGGGCCGACGAGGGCCGCATCGGAGAGACATCCACGAACATCAACCCTCCCTTACGATAGGCGGGGCCCACTTATAACGCCCTTTCTGTACAAGTCACTTGGGGGCCATCCATTTAGTACGGTCGCATGGACGGGGGGAGGTGGGGGTTCACCCAAATGCGCACGTTTGCGTTTGGGTGGTCTACTGACTATGTGCGTACGCATGGGAAACGGCGGGGGGGGGGGGGGAGGGTGAAGCCTCGATAATAATGTCTACATTGGCCTTCAAATTAGTTAGATAGTCCGGCGGTGGACTAATCTGTTTGCTTAAACACGTTAATATGATTCATCCTTGATCGTTTCTGCGTGGATTAAATATCGCCCGTTTTATAGGATTCGGGGGGGGGGGGGGGGGGGCGTCAGGCGTACGTACGCAGGTGGGGGGGGGGGGGTGGATGTAAAAAGTCCGCATGCGTACAGGGAGGGGGGGAGGGGTCAACTCATTTACACTCTGCACACGCCACGTCGTAGCTAGTGTCTCAGAGTACATGCGTTGCCAGTTACGATTGCTGACAACGATTGCCACTGAAGTCGTCCTGTTCTCTGTCCATGGCCCTTGTATCGCAAGGGCATTTATGCACACTCCAGGACACCAGGGCCGATGAAAAATGGGGAGCGTGGTTGGGTGGTGTCGTGGTTGTTTGGTTGGGTGACTCAGGGGATGGTGCTATTAATATGTGATGAACCTGATGTAGCATCACTGAGATGTAGGATTTGAGTCCCTGGCTCCCGTCTGAAATTAAACTATCTGCTCATGGGCTTTTGGTTCGATTGTCTCATTACAATCATTGATGACGCCACGTAAAATCCATCATTGTTTGGATTCCACTCAGTTCAGATCAATACAAGCTGACAATACTGAACACAGAATACAGCTCTAAATGCTCAGGGGTGTGGAATTGTGAAGTAAATATATTTATGGTTAAGTACGAGCCACGTTTGTTACACTGTTAAATATGAAGGTGCACGTAAAATTTATGACTACAATGCTGTCGAATAGGCATGTAATGGTGCGTAGATTCGTCGTTTAAATAAAATTCACGCAACAGATCTTCAGTGTAGAATTCGACTATGTATGATATAAGAAAATAATTTGCTCATGTAACAATTAGGCTAATAGACAAAAACGACCAATCTTTTCCAAAATGAGACCAAAACAACAGTCACTTGCGATGAGTTATACATTAGGTCATGAGGCAGAAACATTTTTAAAATAGAACAAAAATTACAACAATCCTCTATTCCCTATGTGTATGGTTAACCCACAAGTTCCTAATAACGAAAACATATCTATTGCCTAGCGTTAAAATGACCCTGCTTGCAAATTAAAAAAAAAACAACAATCCCTCACCCAGCTTCACCCTTGCTCTCAAGTTTTAGGGTTTAGGGAGGGATCAGCAATCACTGCTTTAGCGTAGGTGGCACGGGCAACCATCACCATTTCGCGTTCTAATAAAAACGTGGTGTGATTTTGAACATGCGTGCGTGCACGTAGCAGTGTTAGTGGGGAGCGGTAGTGCAGCGGTAGTGCAGCGGTCAGCGCGCTGCGCTACAAACCCGGTGACCCGAGTTCGATTCCCGCTCACGGTCAACACCAGTGACGATTATCTGAACCGATCCTTGGGCCTCCATTAGGTCGACTCAGCCTCAAATGAGTACCGGGTGCGGTGTGAAAATATCGCCACTGGGGAGACAAAGGCGCTCGGGCGTGGTGTTGACCACCCACCCCTTCGTGTGCTCTGCTGGCCTTCATAGGCACTCGCTAATAGCTCTTGCCCCAAGAGTCTGCCAAGGCTGCAAGAGGGATCTTTATCATTGTTTGCAGCAGTGTTAATTCAGTCCACATTCTTTATTTTAGTTGGAGTCTTAGTCTAGTCAATGACAACCTGCGGCATTCTCGTCGAGTCTTGAAAATATTTCCTTTCGTCGTTCTCTTCGTCTAAGTCGACCTGAGCAGCCAAACATTTAGACCACTCTTAGTTATTAAATGTTGGTGTAAGGGGTGTGAAATTTACCCCCCCCCCCCCCCCCCCCCCACCATGTTATTAGGTCAGCCTATCAATGACCTCGGTGAGTATAATCATTTACCTTTTTTGGTCTTCCTCGATGCACTGCAGTCTCGAATACCCTTACTCTATTGTCTTGGTCTGTGCGCCTGTCGCAGGTGCGTGGGTAGTCATGTCCATCATCACCCTCAACGAATTTCATCCACCTGACTGCCATAAAACAAGAGGCAAACACCGCACCTCGCCAGTGTTCCCGTTCCTTGATTTGATCCCCGGCGCGCAGATGTGCGAGATGCTGACGCTGTCCTGGGTGGAACACCTGGCCGGCAGGGTGGTGCGAGTGCTGCTCGACTACGTGGACTTCGTGCCGATTTGCGTGAAGCTCAAGGCCGTTCTGCGCAAGCACCCGGAGTGGGAGCAGATCTCCCACATCCTCGGTGAGGTCATTCGGCACTAAGGCCGTAATTATAATATTCAAATATGCTCAAAATGTCCCCCCCCCCCAATATATTAGATTTCTGTTTTTTTATTGTGGTTATGGTTGTACTTTATTCATCCCTAATCTCTGCCATTACATACCATGAAACAAGAAAAGGTAAAAAATAAAAAAACAGAGTAATGTAATACAATAACACTATTAGACATTATTGTAAAAAATAAAAAGTCCATCCTATGTGTTAGTGAATTTTTTTATATTTTAGGCAGGATATTAATTTTCAAATTTAGATTTTTTTCTGGGAGGGGGGGACCCCCAGACCCCCTAGAAGATTTGGACCCCCCAATGTTGACTCCATTGCTACGGCTTTGCTCGGCATCCCCCACCGCCGGCCCCACCCCAGAAATGGCTCTTCAATAGATGACACCACATGCGTGTAACCGCCGTGCTCTGTTATTGATCGTGCAAGTCGGTGAAGATATCAATTCCAACCAACCTCAATCCAAAAATGGATGAAGGGCTCTCCACTCCATGTCGGTAATGGGGGGTTTTCACCATACTTAACAACGCTGAGTTGATGACAGTAAGGGGAGGCTTTGATATCACTCACCACTGACGTTAACCGTGGCCGGGAATCAAACTCGGGTGGCCACGTTCATAGTGCAGCGTGCTAACCACTGTACCGCAGCTCAACACCATGAGTGATTATTATGATTACATAATTATTATCATTCCTAATTTAGTAATTATTATGGGCGATTACATGGCCCAGCTGTAGTGCGTTTATGAATTGTTAGAGTTTCACGGTTCAAATCCAGCAGCCTCCGTGAACACTACTGTCGAGTGTATTAACCATAAATTACGCATAATCTGATTTGAAGTGGACGTTAAAGATCCCGTGATGTTATTTGCAAGAGTAGGCCTTCGTGTGCCAGCATCATGGTTCAGATTTGCCAAATTTTAAAATTACCCGCAAATTACTAAATGGAAAATAAATTCACAGCAATCATCGCCCCTCATGCAAAAAAGCTTGGCATGATACTCCTGAAAGGAGTTGTGAGACTCGGTGGGATTTTCCTGGGGTAACAAGCGCAAAAAATAAATGATTTTCCTATCTGAGGATCTGAGAGCAAGTGTTGCTTGGCTCGTTGTTATGGCCAGACAGGTGCCATTGAGTGGCTATGAGCCAATATTTGATAATTTGATGGGATGAATTGGGTTTAATGATAAAAGCTGTACAGTTAAATACTAACAGGTCACGTTAAAAGTAATGAAAATAAAAACATGGGCGACACTTGCATCGATTTAAAACTGCCATTAGTATGATGCATTTCCACAATTCATAGTTAGGGATATCGCTTGCAATTACGTTTGGGGTTGTGTACCTTTTCGATAATCTTTTAGCACATTTTGTCCGATTAGCACGGTTGGCCTACGTATGGTGCGAAAGAAGTTCAACATGCAGTCCATGCATAATTTACCCACCACACAGGATCGCCGATCCTTTTTTATTTTTTTATTTTCCCCAATGCAAATAACATCCGCTGGCGGATGCTTGTGCGAACGTTGCAGAGAACGCGCGGCCTCTCAAGCACCTGTGCCGGCTCGTGATCCGCGAGAGGATGGGCACCCTGCGGCTACGCTCGCCCGCCTTCCTGGAGCGAACGTTCCTGCCGCGAAGTCTCCGGGAATACCTCCTCTACATGGAGCGCGGCCAGAGCATCGAACAAGGCCTCAGCGTTTAGCCTCGCCCACGTGGGTGGCACGACACCGACTAGTACTCTTGCACTAGGTCTCGGAACCCGGGGAGACATGGGTTGTTGTGACCTAGGGTGTGCCACCTTATCAGGTGCAAAACAAACGAGACACACCATCGTAAAAAGAATGTCTCACAATACCGCAAGAGGGGAGAACTATGTATACCTGCATTCTCTTAAGTGGCGAAATCAGCTACTCTAGTGCCTTGTATCGTGGTCTTGCATTGCAACAACCTACGAATAATTTGCACGTTTTGCTACGTACGGTGCAAAAAGAAGTTCAACATACATACTTACAATAAATCTAGCTCGTGCACAAGAGCTGATTCCTCACTCGATCTCGGTGATGGATGTCTTCTCTAACATGTTGCTTCCTCTGGTTGCTACTCCATCGTGATTGTTAACCATTGGCCATCATCCCTTCCAGTGACATGGCCTGTCCAATCTCACTGTTCTTCATATGTAGTATGATGTCTCTAATTCACACGTGTCCCCTCATACAATTCCTCTTTTTGTCTGTCAGTATAGTTCCAAGCATGGTCCTCTCCATGCTTATGTTAAATGTTGTAATCGTCCGTGTCTCTGAACCATGTATCAATAGCAGGTAGAATGCAGTGATTCAAAACTTTCTGTTTTAGGTATGTGGGTGGGTTACTTTTCATTGTTACCCAGGACACCCTGGACATCCTTGCAAACGAGATGTTCCATATCTAGGGATTATCCAAGTTAAATATTTTAATTGAAAAATAAATTTTACTTTTCAAAAACTGCTCTATCCTATTCTCATTAGGTGACAGGATGGGTATTGTTGACTTCTGTCATCAATAAAAAAATGTTCCTTTCACAACACTCCTTTCATCACACAGGTCTGGAAATAAACGCTTTGCCTCAACAGCCTCCCACTTGGTTTTTAATGCAGTTTTACTTTTACTTTTAATACACACGCTTTAAGGCTGACACTAGGTGATGGCAAAGGTGAGCGTCTGTCATTATGATTAACAACCACCCACAAACCTCCCGACATGGCATTTTGCAGGAACAGTCAAATGTAACATATCCCCGACCCACTGGGGGCCGAGTAAAGGTCGCTACATGTCCAGATTTCACCTCATTAGGGAATTTCTGTTCGTGTGAGAGGCATAGATTTATAACCGAGATCTGGTACCAGTATTGAAATGTCTTGCAGAATACTGACCTGCACCGCTTTGATAGGCCTAGGCTGACTGAGAAATATGGTCTCTGCTGGAGAAGGTGATAACTCTAGGACAGAGGTGTTTGAGATTATGTGCAAAGATCAGATGTGTGAACATTTATAGAAAATGCCAATTAGACGATTCACAAATACTGCACTGAATATGGCCAGTTTATTGGGCATTGGGGGATACGTTGCAGTTCGATATGTGATGCACTGCAGCTGACATTTGCAAATCAATGTACCTATTTGGGCCCCGAGTCACAGAGCGTTGCCACAAATACACACGATCTCCTTTGGGCTGAAGCATCAAGCAGTAACCCTTTTTTCGTATTGAACTTAAATTTAGAGATATGGAAATGAAATGTAACTAGGCAGTTTCACCAATAAGGTAACCCAAATACTGGTGCTGACAAAATACCTCCTCTACCCCTGGAAAATCCTGTGGGAGCATATGCAGTAGTATTACAATGTTACGACTGTACTTTATTTCATATATCTCGATCTTTTTTCACGGCCGTACAAGTGTTTTGTCGCCACGGTTGGCTTATGCACGGTCTGAAAAAAGTTCAACATGCAGACAATGTAATGCTGACATTCTCACGCACATTCAAAATGTGTCCTGCACGGTATCCATGTCGCAGTCTGCAACTCCCAGGGCGGTCACACCCACCGGGCTGAAGACCGCTGAGCTATTTGTTCACAAATCGCGTGTTCAGAAGAACGCATCAATTGAACCTTATGGTGGCACCCCAGGGTACCATAGTAGCCCGGCTCTCGCATAATGTCCCGTGATGCAGTCACTCTAAGACAATGATGCGATGCGGCAATCGACTCATCTCGACGAGTTGTACACGATGCCCTATTCAAAGTTGCATTTTTCAATAGCGGATTTTATATATGCTGTTTGTCATTCGACATCGCGGAGTAGCACTGATTTCGGATTGATTGGCACCCCAGTCGCGGAGTGAAGTACACCCCCTGGAAAAAATAGTGTCCTAGAAATAAAATATTTAATTGCCTCGGCCAATTTGTATTATTGGTACCCCGGGGTATCGCCTAAAGGATCAATTGTTCTGCTGCGATGTGTCCGATCGCCCCCTGTTGGAAAAGTAGCAAACTTTTAACAAAAAAATTTTCAGTTAAAAACTCAACGCTCTGGTGCGTAATGCAATCGCATAAAATGACATACTTTAAGACATAGTATTATAACACATTCGACACCGTTTTAATACTACAGTACTATATAATAGCACACTGAATTCCGCAATGCAGAGATCGTTGTAATTAACGCTCCCCAATGCTGCAGTTAAAGCAATTGGGCACGTTCCTTAAATGCCCCACCTTCGTGCAAGCCCGCAGTATGAATAAGCAAGACTACTTCAGCAAATAATCTTAGCTCTTTCGGTAAAGTGTTTGTGTTATGGTCGAAACGTCGTGAGAATTTTTATTGTTTCATATATATTTTATTATTTTATTGTTTCCCTTCAACGTGACTTTACCGAAAAAGCTAAGAATATGAATTACTGCAGTCACGAAAGCTTTAAATAAAGATTGACTTCAGCAAAGTCGAGTGTTCTAAAATTTAAGCGCAAGTTTCCCCAATTTCTCTTTTGAGAAAAGCGGCATTCTGTTCTTCGTTGAAATATGAAGCTCCCGAAGGAGCTTGCAAAAATTGCCGACAGCGACTATATTTCAAGTCGCCGTGGCGGGGTATTGGGAAAAGTTTTCAATTAGCAATAATCGCGCCTCGGATAAACCTCATTGGCTACGATACTGCCACTGCGCAAAGCTGACGAGCAAGCCTCCGAGTACACCTCTTATGTACGGACCTAGTACATTAACGCTATGGGTTGCCTAAATGAAACAATGAACCATTTTGTTGTAAATACATAAATACATACCCTAATACTATACAACACGTTATCTATACACATTAAAAGGTTTACATTAAAAAGAGAGATATATTACTTGTAAACGTACGCAAGTATTTATGGAGTACAGACTTTTGCTTAAATTTGCATGACCGATGACGTCACTTCCGATACCATGTATCACGGGGAAATGGCAGACTCGTATAAACATACATATTTTTTATAGTCCGCGTTTATATTGCAGCGGTTTAAAAAAAAACATTCAATGTGGCTTGAGATTGCATTTGCATAGAAACAACAATTGCGAGTAATACAAGACAGTAATTCATCTGGGGATATCAGTGCTGGCCACGTGTTCCACGGGAACACGGAAGTAGCAGCGAGGTCATCCTCGCGTTTCATCAGCCACGTGTTTACAAACTCACCGGCTTGTAAGAATCTTCGTAAAGTAAAACGCACCCAAAAAACCTGTGCCCGGTGCCAATAAAGGCATGGAAACCCATACCTGTCAATCCCTTGTCAGTGCCCCCTACCTTATTACAGACCAATTCAGGCCGTATTGGGTCACCCCGTGCCCTTATAATTATCAACGTTCATCCCACAAAGTCCAATCACAAGGGAGAAACAGTCAATAACCACTTGTTCAACGCACCACTAGTAAACTCACCACCACATACCCACCACAAGGGAGAACACACAAAGATAAAACTATATCGGTAATGAAACGGATGTAGGCCGTATGGACCTAAAAACTCAATACCCTTGTACAAGAATAAGGGTAAGCCGTATGGGTTGACAGCTATGGGCACCTGATCTCTCACGCACACAAATAAGACGACTCCCGCATGTTCGTCGTGCGGAGAAATGATGGAACATTTTGCAATTTCAGAGTTCGCGTTATCAGGAAATATTTATGGTAAATGTGCAGTCAACGTTTTATAATTTGGCGGTTTTCTGATTTGATAAGATTTAAATATTCTCTATTACGGTACTCCTGGTATAGTGTGATGAAAGTATTTTTGGGAGGGGGTGAAAGGCAACATTTTGGTTTGTTATATTGTTTTTATTAACCTAGGCCGTAGCCATGGAGCCAACATTGGGGGGTAAATCTTTCAGGGGGTCTGGGGGTCTCCCCCAGAAAAAAAAATATATGAAAAGGAATTTCCTGCCTAAAATATTTTTAAAAAATCACTAACACATAGGATGGACTTTTTACTTATTTTTTACAATGTCTAATAGTGTATTGCATTACATTGCTCTGTTTTTCTTTTTTACCATGTTTCATTGTAATGGCAGAGATTAGGAATTAATAAAGTACAACCATAACCACAATCTTATAAACATAAATATATTTTATAGCAATATATTGGGGGGGGGGGGGGATATTTTGCTGCACCAGTTTCAACTGGTGCAGCAAAATGTGTGTTGACTAACTCGGAGACACTTAAGAGTTGGAGGCACTTCCTTATTAACAAGCATCATCGGGGTTAACACTTTTAATAATTAGTCCGTCTATGATCAGCGACGTTACTCAGTCAGGACAGTTGGTAGGCTGCCTGACTGGTGACGCCCCGAGATGGTGAAGACGACGAGAAGAATGACGAGAATGGTGAAGACTTCAACAGCACGACGAGAATCCCACTCCACACAACAGCCCCCGAGATCCCCTACAGGAGCCCCTCTTATACTGTCAGCGTGGCCTGGCTCCGCCCCCGGCCACGCCCCCTTTCTAGAACCTACCAGCGTATTGGTGTGCCTCTTCTGTGACCTTTCCCCTAGACCCCCCTCTGGTGTATCACCTGGCCTGCTGACGTAAGCAGCAGATCCCCTTCCCTGCCAGCAGCAAGCGCTATGCTGCTCCATTACTGATTCTATGCCACTACAAATGTATGCACTTTTGCTTGTCCACCCAGTAGTGAGCTGGTACAGCAACAATGAGTCGGCATGTCCCGTGTAGTGGGATAAAGTGTGGGTATTCCCACATCTTCCAAGCAGTCTGGCCAGTGTCGGAGTGTCGAGCCTCTCCCACGAGAGCTTCATCTAGTGGAGGATCTTCCACCTGCGGTGGCGTGAACAATAATTGCAGAGCTGCACCTTGTCCACACGTGGACTCTCCCCTTGTTAACAATGATTGTACGAAGCCCACGAAACAGGAAATATTGTAACTGCCATGATAAATGATTGGATGACATTAACCATATTCGATTGAAAAATACCTTTGGGTGATTCACAAACTATAATTGGGCAGAAAATGTTCTAAGTTGATTAAAATATCAATCGTTATTTATACTGTATAATGGATTGGCATGACATTACAATCGGTACGTCGCTATTGACTTGTCCTATTTTAAATGCAAAATTAAAACTGCAGCCGTTCGCATATGCGAGTTTTTGTGACCACGCGATCAATTTAAAGTGATATTGGTCATCCACTAGAATTTAAACATGTGCAGTTTACATTTTTGAACAGTTTTCTCAGCTAGACAATTACACTTCCAACATCCACTAGAGTACATACAGTCTGGGTTGGTCTGTCCCAACAGTCCAGTGTACAATTTTGCAATCAACGTGAAGATGACGAACGCGCAGCGGTTATAACGCCCGTTACTTTATTACATTTGACGTACGTGTATTGTACATTTCTATACGGTTCATCGGTATAAACTCCAGCAATGATTTAACTCTTCAATCGTGGTAGTAACATTACATACATGGCTGCAGAGTATATTTTGTTTCCCTTATTCAGGAAAATTAAATGTCCCCTTACTTTTTTTGTTGACTTTGAACACGTGAGATAAATCTTGCCTTATAAATACGACTGCACATGACCAAACCTAAACAAACACATCAATCTTGTAAATCGTGTCAATGTAATACATTTTTCTGCAAGCTTTAGTTTTCGTCCAAACACAGTTTTAAACAAAAGTACACACGCAGTACTTATTACAGTATATGGTCCATGACAACCTTAAAGCACAAGCCCAAATTCCAAAGGTTACTCCTTAAAATAAACAAGAGTACCATTGTCCATCATAAATAAGGAACTTGGGTTTAGGTGAATTGGGGCTTCTACTTGATGGTTGTGGACTTTTCGTTTATTGCAAACCACTAGAATTTAGTAAGTGGCTTGCATATTGTAGCAGGTGCATGCTTTTTAGAAGTTTACTTGTATATATATTTTTATATAGCAATATTTACAATGTTGCATCAACTTAGGATACATTAAGGGCTCTACATTTCAGTTATAATTCCCAGTGGTTTACGCGACGAAAACCTGGTGGGTGACTCGAATTTTACTCCTGGCCAAGCACGGCTAGGATAACTAACAAGGTGGAAACAAAAGTCAGTCCTGGGCAATTCAACTTCATCAACCTTTAACGACGAGCGTGAAGTATGGTCAAAAAACCTCCCATGACCGCCACAGCATTCATCTAGCAGTGGATTGACAAAGGGCTGAACACGATTCTTAGGACGTGACGAGAATGGAACACAAATGTAGACGTTACCAAGCACAATATATCAGTGCCGTCACTTTTGCTTTGAGATTTTCAGCTAGCAGGTAATGCACCATTATTCAAATGGATTACTCTGTAATGTCGCTAAAGTCTAAAACCTAACAGTTTAGTAATAATCACAAACATGAAAAATATATTCTGACACTGAAAGGCTTACATAAAACCCTCAAATGTTTGCAAATACTAAACAATGCTGTTTTAAATTAAAACAATTAGTTTGAACTTGTATTTGTTACAACTGTAAATACTACCATCTTCAGACATTCCCACCAATAGTGAACTATGCTGTTTTGAAGTGCCAATGAAATAATTTCAACAAAGAGTGTAAAAGTTCAAAGGCAGTAATGTATTAAAAGGCCAAATTCATCTGTTGAAGTAATCTATGACTAATGAGTGCACAATTGCCACTTAAACCTAGGCTTATTTTGTTCTCAAAAGCTTACTCTTGGTCCACAATAAGAATAAGACTGACATACAAACCAGTTCACCTTGACAATTCAACCACTTATAAGGTCTACACTCAGCCCATCATACACTCCACACTTAGTAAAACAATAACCAGTCAAGCAATTTAACTCAATTTAAATTGTCAAAAATGCCACACGCGGCTTCTTCAGTGCCCATATTTGAAAACGAAAAATACTCTTCACAGTAAACTCTCCATAACCAACGTGATTGAAGCCATCTGAGTGTGGGCACATAGGGAAACATGTGAAGGTTCATTCTGCCAATTAACTTGCAGCTTGGTTTATAATTCATTTAAAACGAATGGCTCACAGGCAAGAGGCTGCCCCTGCTGGCTGGCCTGGCTTACTCGATGCTACTTTCTCATGACATCTTCATTGATATTGGCCATAAGCACCGAAGCCCGCGGCAGGGAGGTTTGCAGGTGGTGGTGGTAGCTGAGCAGGATCCTCAACCAACTGCGGAGGGCCTGCAAAGGGTAAACCATGACATTTTAATATCAGGACTAACAAAAATACTAGAAACATTCACATCCCTATATGTACAAGGTTAACTATCTGTCATCTGCTGGTGGATTATACGTGCTGCATATTAAGTGCTTGCAACAACAAAAATCAAGTATTTTACATGCGCGTTGTTTGTGTTAGCTGCTCCTCATTTATCGAGGGTAAGTGCCCATGCAACAACACACATCCACAAGTACACCGATTACTTAAGGAAAAAAGAGATGACTAATTCTACATCTTCACTCCCAGTCTACAGAGGCAAACAGATGTTTTTATAGGTTTTGTGTGCTACCGTACACTGCTAAAATGTTGATTTTAAGCTTTCGTGACTGCAGGAATTCATACTCTGGGTCTTTCGGTAAAGTCACGTAGATAGAAAAAAAATAGATCACGACGATCGAAACGTCGTGATCTATTATTTTTCTATCTACGTGACTTTACCGAAAGACCCAAAGAGTACGCTATAATGGTGTCAAACACTAATTTCATTGTTCCCTCACCATTCTGGAACTGTGTAGATGTGAACCTTGTGAGCATGATTCCAACTCCCTCAATGAGGGCCAGCAGCACGCCACCCATGACTGCCGAGCCAACCATGGCCACCGGTCCACCTGGGTTAAGAACATAGCAGCAACTCTTATAAATGGGGCAGTATGATGTGCACGACAGCCTTCATTGGAATATGGAATAACATACACTTACAGATTTACATTCCTCCGATTAGCATGGTTGGCTACGTACAGTGCGAAAGAAGTTCATGATACATTAAAAAAAAGTACTGTGTATCAATGGTTTTATATTACATAAACTATGATTTTTTAAATTTCATTTTCATCGGAGTGCAATACCCATTTCTTACTTTCAGAGATTTCAATTAAATGAATCATTGAAGATTATCGGACATATAACGACCGAAGTGAAACTAACTTCGTGCGGCCAGCACGGCGCCCGTGAGCGCCCCGCTCGAAATGGAGTTCCACGGGTCTTCTTTCCCACGAATCTTCACCAGGCCGCAGTCTATGGTGGAAAAGAGTCCTCCCCACACCGCGAAACTGCCTGACAAGGGAAAGATTGACTGCTATCATCACTTCAACATCAACTCAGCGGTGAGTGCTCTAACAGTAGCTTACAGCTCCAAGCACAGCTGCTGGTCAGAGAAAGTTATAAGACGAAGGAATCAAATACGATTCTGAGACAATTGCAACATCCAATTTCAATGTATAGCACAGATATATCAAGAGCCAGGCATATTACTCCAGGATCATATTTGATAAGCAACATCTTCATAGCCTTGACAAGAAAGTGAACAACCTTGAGCCAGCTACACTGTCCTTTAAAAGGCTTTAAATACATGAATTTTATTTACTGTAATACAGTACAGCAGAAACTGTGCTATGTAACATAATTGTTCTTCGTGACCTGCGCCTGCTTTGCAAAAAACCCAGTTCTTGACAATGTTGCATTCACAAATAGTGAGATACTTCATGAATATGCATTGCGTGCAATTTTGTTGTTACATTATTGTGAAATAATGAACTGCTCTTGAGATGACCTGGCATAAACCGTGCTCAGTATATAATATTTTGAATTGTCATAACCGACCACTTAATTGAGTTAAGTTTTTTCCCAAAATATTAACTTAAATACGTGTAGTCAAATAACTGTGCATTTAAGTTAATTTCAAACTAAGTGCACAATTTAATATTTCTTAGTATTTTGTAATACTCTGTTAAAGGGAATTTTTACTTTATGCAAAACGGGGAGAACATACAAACTCCAAACAGAAGGGCACCCCCCCCCCCACTTGGGAATCGAACCCAGCGCCTTATTGCTGCAAGGCAAGTATTTCCACTCTACCACCCCGTTTTGATGGGAGGAATCCAACTCGGGGAATGATGACCTATAGTGAATACACACTCTGGACACTTTGTTGCAACGAAGGCATGGTGTGTTTGTATCAAGAGGGAAAGTCCTTCCTCACCTCCAATCTGTGGTCCCCGAAGTTTCACGGCACTGATGCTGCTGTGGAAGCGATGTCCCACCCCCTGCAAAAAAAAGACAACTACAACGCTCAGATATCTACACGTTCTCCAGTCTGACAGTCAAGTCTCCAGGCAATGCACATATTTGGCAGACCTAATGCTTTCATGAGATCAGTGTACCAGAATTAATAAAGCCATATTAAAACCAGAACAATAGACGTATATGACTGCAAATTGTAATTACAGAACGTATTCAGGATACAATGTACATGTTCTAAAAATCCTTCGCAAAAACGTTCATGCTCAAGAGTTAACGGCTGTCCATTCGCTTCATGTATCTTTCAGTCCCACGGCAAAGAGGCTGCGCCAGAAAAAATATAAATGTGGATGTCACACAAGTGACGTTTTATAAGCGCTCGCTTACCACTGGGGCATTCCTGAAGCCTTTAATCGACTGGAAAATTCCTCCTCCAATTGCGCCCATGGTGAAGGCTCCTCCGCAATCGTCAACTATCCTCCATGGACTATAATTAAGTCACAGAAGCACACGCAGGGTTATGGTTACTGCACTATGCAAACGAACTGGGGCGAGTAAAAAAAATAACACAATTTGACTGCTACGGCTCAAGAAAGTCTGGCAAAAAAAATGTTGGATATATGCCACGCTTTTATAAATCTTGTGTTCACGTATTCCTATGATATACGGTCACAGTTGGTTTCATGATGAGAAAGAACATCAATGCATTTCACCATCTTCAAAACTTAATCAACTTTAGCTACATCCCTTGTAAGTCGATGGGGCCCAGACCTGATTTTCTACATGCCAGTATAGTACCACCGGTGTAGCCAAAACTTTAGTGGTACATGTACCAACTTGTCAACATGGCCATACAAGTGAATATTGTAACAACTTTATATATGGACAATAAAGGTTCATTACATCATAGCTTACTCATGTGAAAAAAAGTTATCATTGTCCACTTTCATTGGACCTAAATAAATTGTGAGTTATGCCGTTTCCGTAAGACATGAATTACAAAACTAACTCAATGTCAAAAAGAAACGCAGAGCACTAAGATTTGGCCATCTAATAACACGACTACGGACACATGGTTGTCCAGAGGGCGAATGCAACCTTCTGATTTATATCATAACCCTCACATAAACTTCTCGTTCACTAATTGTAAACGACGACATACAGAAACTTGGAACCACCAACGTTTCGCTCAGGTTTCGCCATCTCATGCCCCCCCCCCCCCTAAGGATACCAAAGTGGCTCCGGGTACACTACAGCACTGAATGTCATAACCCATTTACTACACAGGGGAATTCACAATTGACCGCGACCAATACATCACGACACACGAAACCTCCCCACCACCAAAAAAATCCCCGAACCATGGACTATGGGAACATCGAGATGAGACCCATCCGACTCAACGCGACCGACCCAGGAGGGCCTCTCTCCTCCTCTCCTTCAACCTTGGCGGCCCGAGGGCCCGGGGTCACGACCGGGCGCGTCAGCGAGCCACAAAGGCCGCCTCACCGCCACGCACCAACAACATCGCGGCAATGGCACCGTGGGGCCGCTGCACTGTTCGCAGCGGCCCTTCGTGCTGTGTCGGCTGCAAACGGAGCGTGCCGAGCCGAGGCCTGGGCCCGGCTCGATGCCCTTGCCCACGAGGTTACACAACCGGCACACGAACACGCCAAGCGACAAAGCAGATAACGCGCCGCACGCGGCAACCAACAACACTGCCGCTACACGCCCGCCTGCTCGCTCAATTCGCCGGCTTAATCGCGTCGCTCATGGGCAAGTGGCCCAATTAAAGAGGCCGCTAACATTTACCACGGCTCGCGTGCGTATTCCTCCATGGCTGGCTGGCTGGCTGAGGCGAGTGAGATCGTCCGGGTCCGAACTGCGACCGCCAACAAAACGTTCCGGGCCTGAGTCACTCCCCCAACACCCCGACCCCTCCCCCAACCCCCAAACCCCTCCCCCAACTCCTCCCCCAACCCCCCGACTCCTCCCCCAATCCAACACCTCCCCCAACCCAACCCCTCCTCCAACCTCTCAATTCCTCCCCCCAATCCCTACCCCACCCCCAATCCCCCCTAAGCTCCCCCCCCCGTCCCCCTCCCCCAACTCGCTAACTGCTATTGGCTTAAATCTTGATTTAAAGCTTTCGTGACTGCAGTAATTTTTGTTTTATTATTGTATTGTTTCCCTTCAACGTGACTTCACCGAGAGAGCTAACGGTATGCTATTGGCTAGTTACTTGCACGGGCTTCGTTGAAATAAGCCTTCCGGGTTGCCAACAATCGTTTATATTATTTCCGGCGAGGTTCGACGAAACGTTCCGGGGGTGAAGGCGAAACACGTTGAATGAATATTCTTAGCTCTTTCGGTAAAGTCACGTTGAAGGGAAACAATAATATAATAAAATATATATTTATTGTTTTATATATATTATTTTTTTATTGTTTCCCTTCAACGTGACTTTACCGAAAGAGCTAAGAATACGTTGAATGAAGTTGCATTGCGTTGCGTGGATCGATCGACACGATTTAGTAAATCGTTTTTTTAACAATCGAGCGATCCAGGCATCGTAATCGCGCCGCGTGTAAGATTCGATTATTCGGCGTTCGTGCAAAATTGCTGCTCTGTGAGAGCAAGATCCACTTGCAAGTTATCCTTGAGCGGAATGGAATTAAATAGGCAGAACAGGCGACACATTACGAACGGCATAAAGTGTATCGATCCATGAAATCCATTGCAATACTGATTCGACTCTTGGTCGTTGCCGAACACGTATGCTGGATCCATACTCTTTGGTTCTATTCGGTAAAGTCACGTAGGTATGAAGCTCTTTTTCACTTATGTGAAAAAGAGCTTCATAGCTCATCGGATTTCTATTCAGTAAAGTCACGTAGGTATGAAGCTCTTTTTCACTTATGTGAAAAAGAGCTTCATAGCTCATCGGATTTCTATTCGGTAAAGTCACGTAGGTATGAAGCTCTTTTTCACTTATGTGAAAAAGAGCTTCATAGCTCATCGGATTTCTATTCAGTAAAGTCACGTAGGTATGAAGCTCTTTTTCACTTATGTGAAAAAGAGCTTCATAGCTCATCGGGTTTCTATTCAGTAAAGTCACGTAGGTATGAAGCTCTTTTTCACTTATGTGAAAAAGAGCTTCATAGCTCATCGGATTTCTAGGTATGAAGCTCTTTTTCACTTATGTGAAAAAGAGCTTCATAGCTCATCGGATTTCTATTCAGTAAAGTCACGTAGGTATGAAGCTCTTTTTCACTTATGTGAAAAAGAGCTTCATAGCTCATCGGATTTCTATTCGGTAAAGTCACGTAGGTATGAAGCTCTTTTTCACTTATGTGAAAAAGAGCTTCATACCTCATCGGATTTCTATTCAGTAAAGTCACGTAGGTATGAAGCTCTTTTTCACTTATGTGAAAAAGAGCTTCATAGCTCATCGGGTTTCTATTCAGTAAAGTCACGTAGGTATGAAGCTCTTTTTCACTTATGTGAAAAAGAGCTTATGTGAAAAAGAGCTTCATAGCTCATCGGATTTCTATTCAGTAAAGTCACGTAGGTATGAAGCTCTTTTCACTTATGTGAAAAAGAGCTTCATAGCTTATCGGATTTCTATTCAGTAAAGTCACGTAGGTATGCAGCTCTTTTTCACTTATGTGAAAAAGAGCTTCATAGCTCATCGGATTTCTATTCAGTAAAGTCACGTAGGTATGAAGCTCTTTTTCACTTATGTGAAAAAGAGCTTCATAGCTCATCGGGTTTATATTCAGTAAAGTCACGTAGGTATGATGAGCTATGAAGCTCTTTTTCACATAAGTGAAAAAGAGCTTCATAGCTCATCGGATTTCTCCAATATGAATAAATAATACATATTCAGATTATCCCTCGCCTTGTGCTCATGCAGTGATGGAAATTCCACATTCGTATGGCAAGGCACAAGCAAGGCCGGATTAAGACTTTGTAGGCCCCTGGGCTACAGGTACTGTGAGGCCCCCAGTAATATTTTCAAAAGGAAAACAAAGTTAAAGAAAAATAAAATGTATTTTTTACAAGGCTAACAACAAATAAAATTCAGCATTCACAAATGAAATAACTTTTAACTTAATCTCTGAACGTCCTCCAGCTGGCGAAGTCCCCTGGGCTGCAGTCTCTAAAGCCCCCGTGCCTTAAACCGGCCCTGAGTACAAGATTACGAAATGTCCTTTTGCTCAAGTGGAAATGTTACCCAAAGACCCAAAGAAAATTGAAATGTCAGTTTCAACACATGTGTAGGGGTGCTATGGGGAATAAACACATGGCACGGGAAGGTGTGGTTCACCCACACCTTGGTGGCTACAACAACGTCCGCTAAGGCTCCAGTGGGTATAAAGTGCGGGGAGCCAGGGAGCTCGGGGCAGAGTGTGGGGCCCGAGGCTGAAGCAACCAGTGAAGAAAGAAGGCCAGCTAGGTGAGACCCTGGAACTCCTGTGACCGCTGCCCTTTTCAGGGCCGGCACAGCAAGCCAGTGGTGCGGCCCCAGAGCCCCAGAGTCAGAGTCCTTCTAAGGGCCGGTCTGGTCGGCGGGGTGCCGAGATCTGTGCCTAACCAGGGCCGGATCTGATAGCCTCCCTTAGAGCCCTACCAGGAGGAACTGGAAGCCTAGAGCTTAGGCTAGAGAGCCTGGGGTGTGTTCCTGAGTTATACGGGTGGAGGGGCCGCTACCCCTTCTAGTGTAACCCTTGTTAAGGTTTAAATAAATAGTGCTGCTTCTATTCTGCCGTCTCCGTGTCCTGGAACCCACTACACATGGCCTCACGATGGGCGGGGTTTTGCAGAGGTTCGTGATTAAGCGGGCGGGTCGAGCGACGTATTGGGCGGGGCTATTGGTTGAGTGGGCGGGGCGAGCGATTTATTGGGCGGGGGTATGCAAAGTAGGTGGGGTGGAGGGAGGCGGGCCTGCCAGCCCATCGTGTGTCCCGGCTGAGCCTCCCAGAAATGTAATAGGGGGCCGTCCATAAATGACGTCACGCGATTTTGGCCGATTTTTAACCCCTCCTCCCCCCCTCGTCACACGGCGTCACAAAAAGTCAGACACCCCCCCTCAAATATGACGTCACAAAGCTCTGCTCCCCCCCCAAACCATATTTCCATTTTGAAAATAAAACATGCTTCAAATCACTTTAAACTATTGTCATTGTAGTGCGTATTTAATGTGGCGCTGCACTCTGATGTTGTAGGAGAAAACATTCATTAAAAAGGAGGCGTTGGAAAGTTGAAATTTAGCATAAAATTCACTTGAAAATATTCAACGTCTAACTAAAACTGCAGATGTTCAGAATATTATATTGAAATGATCTTATAATTATAACATATTAAAAGTAATTATAACTATAAAAAAATACTTGAAACTTTGTAGTAGAACGAAGCAAAATGGAGAGTACAATTATAACAATGACATTCATTTCACAGAATGAAAAGCCCTGGTAGAATCATTAGAATCAAAATGTTTAATAAAAGTCATTACAAAAAAATGTATGCTTCTACATTCTCCCATGGAGAAGCAAAATGCTGCGTCATGGAATAAATAAAAGGTGACCTTAGTCAATTTAAATAATCAAATAGTTCATAATGAAAATTAATCAAAAATAGTGTTGTTATAACGATTCTATTTAGTAAATATTTATTTAAAGTTGCGTATTTTGATATGACGTCACATTTCTCAAACCCCCCCTCCCCCCCTCGTCACACATCGTCACAAATGTCTGACCCCCCTCCCCCCCGAGGTGCGTGACGTCATTTATGGATTGCCCCTAGGGTTATGGTAACCCTAAGGGACAAGTCTCTTATAGGACAGCCACTGCTACAAGGTAATGGAAATGAGCGTGGTGAATTTTTGGGGGGGGCTGTGCTCTTGCTGTAATAGGAATGTAACCTGGTTCAATGAAAGGTCCACATCGTCATCAACCATTATCTATGCACTGCTGGATGAAGGGCTCTAACCACATCATCCTTCACGGTCCTACAAGGCCACAATCCATCTGCAAATAAGCCGACATAATTATTCAGACTCCACTGGTAATCCTCTCGGTCGCATTCGCTTCTTCACGGCCGGTGCTATGACCATTATAGTAGCGCGTTCGCAGCTTTAGTTCACGGTTCCCATTTCAGCGGCCGCCTTTATTAATACTGTGGAGGTATTGACCATAATATACAATGCGCCATCTGCTTCAGAGTGGACATGCAAGGTCCTGTGTCTTCCAAAAGAGTAGGACATTGTTTGCCTACGTCATCGTGCAAATCTGTCATTTGAAAATGACCTTGGGATTACACAGAGCAAGCACCTATTGGCAGGCCATAATTTGGGCAATTGTTTGATAGCGCCGCTTCTGGCTGCCTACGGGCCCCGCTGTGGTTTCCCATGCCTATATTTGAAATCTGCACGCATTACAAATTTGTACGGCGTTTTGGGATGCAATTTGCATGAACAACGCTATATTCAATGACACATTGGATTACCGTATATTGGGTGCCATTCCATCACTGGTCACGATCTCTTACAGCGATGTATCTTGCCCACAAACTTTGGTTCATGATTTTATATATACGGTAGTTTTCATTGCAAGACGGTGAGAAAAGGTAACGGATTGAATGCTTCATCCAGCAATGGATAAATTATTACTCGTGATAACTGGCAATATGCACTCATTGAAACCTTTTTTCAGGCACATTGATATACAGTACTGCTTTCCATAATCAAATTAAGTTTTCCAAATGCACTCGATCCTTCTCTACGTTTGCCTCTTTCATCATTTTAGCGAGCCACTGATGGCGCACACCTGTAATCCGGCAATAAGGCAAGGGTTGGTGGATCGCAAATATCTTGTCGTTGGCGTCGAGGTGCCATATACCCTGGTTTGCCAGGAGACGGCAGTACA